CACTTGAGTGGGTAGTGATCTTCGAGCCGGACCCAATACTTCAACGACCGGAGCATTGGGACTCTCGACTGCAAAGAGACAGGCTCTACCAACGGATACTTTATCCATTGATTCCGGTGTGATGATTCTGGCTGCAGGAGTAACGACGCATTTGAAAGGACTTCCTGGAACATCCTGTCCATTGAATCGCAAATCAACTGAATGGGCAGTGGCTTCGCGCGGTGTGAAGGAAATAGCGTACGTGTGTGGTCCTTGAGCTTGGGCTGATGTTGGAACTCTTCCACCGTTTACGGTCACCTCTAGATTGCCAGGTCCAGCTTGGCTAGTTTCAACTGATTTCATCCAATAAATCAAACTTAGTTTCTAAATCGCTACTCATGAATTTCTCACCTAGGAATGTGACCGGTTTTCCGACGACTCCAGTTGCGGCTTCTTTGACTTTGATAGCTTGAACGTCGTAAACTTTGGCTGCGTACGGACTACCGGCAGTAGGTATTCCATTGACGCTGACGTTTATCCGATGCTCTCCGACGACCCTGGGTACGAACTCAGCGCGAAACTGAGCGTTGCCCAATGGTTGGACTTGGGTGGGCACCGATTGACCTCCGGGGCCTGAGCCAATTTTCGTTTTTTGTCAAGGATATTAATTATTATAGGGACTGGTTCATTTGGGGGGGAAGTATTGTTATACACGAGGAATGATTCATGAAGCAAATCAGTTAAAGCAAATATGTTATTTTACTACAATTTTGTGCATATGTTTATTTCATCTTGAACGCTTCAATCCATTTCAATAACGAAGACCCATTATCGTTTCACAAGTTATATTTTAACGCGTAGAGTTTTTCACTAACACATTTAAGTATTATATTTTATGTTTAGCACCTATAGCAATCATTTTATTTATTTAAATTATACTTTTACTATTTAGAATCTTATAATTGAAGTATTTAAAATTTAGTAGATAATAATCGCAAAAAACATGTAAAATATTAATCTATTGATATCTAATTAATTACTTGAAAAATAAAAAATATGATCTTGCTAATAAATTTAAAAAAATATCATTCAATTTTGATCCTGTAATTCTAATATATTTCAATATTTATTATTATAATGAATCTTAAATTGAACATATACTAATTAAATCATTGAGAATTTGATGCTAAAATATGCAAAGACATTAACTGTTAACTTTACATATTCCAACAATAGAAGTCATGACCTTTTTTCTTGTTACAAACAATTATGTAAGTTCTGTTGACAAGAAACAAATACATCCGCTTATTAATGAAACGAATTACAAAATGTGTGTGTTATTTTTATACGAAGGCTGAAATTATTTAATTTTCAAATATATTGTACAAAGAACATTTAAGAAAGATGTGTATCATGTTTTTTAAATTAAAGAATAAAAAAAAGAATCAACAAATCATAGGACGAAGATATTTTTGGAAAAAATTGTATATTCGTGAAGAATAATTGTATGAATAGGCAAGGATGACTATAGCACGCTTTAAGAAACAATTCATTGATGAATAATATACAACGTACAAGCAGACCATATTTATATTTAAAACAAAATAAATAACTTTCGATCGGTGCACGAGTTTTGGTTTGAACCAAATTAAGTGGCATATGTCGGGTATAACTTTCACCGCGAATGAGTGGTAAAAAGTAAATGAAAACCTGCAGCGACTAATTGTAACTTTAATTGATTATGGGATAAACCATACGGCAGACGAGTAAATAATCCAATTATATGTATTTTTAAAATAGAAAAGAAAGTTGCCGTACTTAACGAGAAACCTGATAAAATATCACGGAGAACGGCGAACTTCTTCTGTCTATATTATTTCTTATTGCCATTTATTAATTTATTTTATTCTTACTTTTGTGTTTTTATGTAGAAATTAAGTAAACCAACATTATAAATATATTTCTAATTACTATAATTATTTCTATTAATGTATAAAATAGTCCAATCATTAGTCACTTTAAAATATTTGTTAATGATTTATGTTCATAATTTTGTTAAAGTTCCATTTTATATTCAATTTTAAATTCTTACGAAAGTTAACAATAGGTGACTTAAAAACATACTAGTAAAATGTAGTCTCTAGTAGAGTAAAAACTCAAAATATTACATAAGATATATAAATAAATACATATAAATTTTGTTTATTATTATTTCATAAATAATCATTATCAAGTTTTACATTTCTTATTGTTTCCTTTTAGTTACTCAAATAATTAATTATAAAAATGATTAATTAGAATTAATAAGTTCAGTTTAGGGCAGAAAGACCTATGATTAACAGCCCTTTGCAGCAGTTGAATTTTATTACATTTTTGTTATTGCATTAAGTTTTTTTTAATTTTATAATATATTGTTGCAATAAATATTATTATTATTAAGTTCAGTTTTATATTTTTTTCTTGTATCTTTTTCTTCATATTATTTTATATACTTATGATTATAATATGTATACATTACATTAAATTATTTAAAATTATATTTATCTTCAAAATTATTTAAAAGGTTTTGTTTAGATCAATAAGTCAGTACGTTGCTAGAATTAAAAAATAATTTATTTCTTAAGTTTGTTAATAAGTTATTTAAAAAGAACGAAGTTAAAATGTTGATTTTTTATTGTATATTGTAAAATTAATCAGAATATGGACGAGAGAAATCAAACTTGATTAAATAGAATTAAAAATTTTAAAGGTCAGTTCTATAAGTCAAATCGTACAGTTTTTGTTATAAACAAAAGTAGATAGCAATAGTAAAATAAAATGTAATTTAGGTCGTTGTCTCAAAAACTTTCCAAATGCACGTTCGATTTATTCGTACAACTTTTTTTTATTCGATTTTGTAATAGTAAATAATTGCCTAATTTAGCTATTTCCAATTGAATATTTAGACTATGTTTATAATATAAAAATCAGTGGTCACGCTTGGCATATGTTAAATTATATGATATACAGTGGAACCTCGCTTAACGAGTTTAATCTGTTCCAAAATTTCCGGATTTTTACTCGTATTTTTGAAACATATTCAAAAATACATATAATATGTGTACATAAGTTTTAAAAATGATGTAGCGTTATTCGAAACGTCGCTCGTTAAGTCATTTTTCTTACAATTAATTTTTAAGCGAAATTGCGAGGTGCTTGTTAAGCGAGCGTTAATTTGCAATAAAAAATATTTCCTATAATAACTTTAAAAATGTAAATTATTATGTTATTTTTTCAAAGTCAATTTTATATTTTTTTCCGTACTAACAACAAGTGTTAAAAATATTAAAAGATTGATCGATTTATTGATCATAGTAAGAATACTCTATAATTCTAAGAAGTATCTACTAACTGTATGTTAATGTCAACAGGTAAACCTCTTAACTAAAGAATTTATATATAGACTAGATGTCACATATAAGCTAGAAAGGTTTATGGTTAGAAAAACTGAATTCTAATATATAAGTTTTAGATTTATGGTCGAATTGTAAGAAATACAAGTAGCAATACGAGAATAATAGAAGTAGAATACACTAAACAGCCAAAAGCATTATAAAAATCATAATCATACAATGATTTATATGAAGAGACAAATGGGTTAAGCAAAGGAGTACATTCCAAAGGAAATAAACATATGTATAAAAGTTTTGATGTTTCGCAGGCAATATTAGGATAAAAAAAACTATATTAGATTCATAAAAAACAACAATAAAATTAGTAAAATTCGAGTAACATGTTAGTAGAGAGAATAGTGGAATAGAGGGATAATATAGAGACGTGTCTAATACAACAGACGTCTGTGTCCTGAAATCGAGAAAAAGAGAGTGCACATAAATAAAACAGCCAGATGATGCAAAAGAGAAAGAAAACAAACAGAACGAAATGCATGCATATATTTGATACATCTTATCTTAACTTAATATTCTTCGTACAATATTTCAATGATTCATTTTTTTAAGTATAAAGTAGTAAAATAACACACATATTTTGCTTCACATAAATAAATAAACGTACGCACATAATTGGAATGCATTCGACTACGATTTAATCACCCAAAAATTCTACAGGTATTCCAAAAATAAATGGGCGATTAAAAGAATAACCGAAAGCAATTAAAAGGTACTTAATATAAATTTTTAAAAAAATGCTTGAAATGGTTTACATAATATTTTAAGTTTGGAAAAGTTAGAGTATGATATTAGAGTTTGATCTAAGAATATCTTTTAACGGCGAGCTACAAAAGTTATTGGAAATTAGTCGATGAAATAGATTATTAATTACATAAACGTGAATCGACAATGATATGTAAATAAAATAGTGTTCGAATTCGATTTATCGTTTTATTTTTACAATACTTCATTTACTGTCTACATACAACGTTTCCAAACTTTAAATGTCTATATAAAGCATACCATAACATCTTATATACTTTTTTTTAGATAAATAATATGTTCTCACCCTCAACATTGACTTCAATGTCTTCTAATCGTCCCGGATGATTAATTAGAAGTGTGCTGGGTCTGTGCACGGGTCCGGGACCCGGCAGCGTGACGCTTGGTCCAGCACCGCCTCCTCCAACTCCCACGATCAGAGGACACCCAACTACGGGCCTCTTGTTGAAGGCTACATTAACTACGTGATCGCATGCTTCTGCCGGCACGAAGCTCACGGCGAATTTCGCATTGCCCTGAGGGTGCACTTGTGTGGGTATGTTCAACCCTCGGGCGGAAATGGTAATTTCCAAATTTCCTTCTCCCGCTTCGCTCGCATCTACAGAGAAGGTTACCGGTCGTCCCACCGTTCCTCTGGCCACGTGTCCGACGGTCACACGGGTCGAGTCGAAGGCTTTCGCTATGAACGGCGTTCCTTGTACGGGCCTTCCGTTATAATCCACGTTAATTTGGTGGGCTCCGACTTGGTTCGGCGTGAATTCCGCCGTGAACCCGGAGTGTATATCACCGGTAACTTTTACAGGAAGTTCTCCGATCGGTCCTCTCACGGCGACTGCCAATTCTGCAGCGCCACCCCCAGCAACGCCCATATGGAACGAGCTGGGTTGATTCACGGGAATCAGCTCCAGGTGAGATAGGCTCAGTATCACCCTGCTCGTGTCCGTTACGGAGCATACAAACGGACATCCTCGGACCGTTTCTCCGTTAAATTTGATATCGATAAGATGGGGTTTTGCATGGTCGGGCGTAAACGATACCAAGCAACGACCTCCGCCGACAACCTGGACATGGTTGGGTACTTCTCCTTCGTTTATGGATATCTCCAATTGTCCTTCGCCCGCTTGGCTGGCATCAACTGCAAAACAATAAAACCATCATAATATTATCCATTCTACAAAAAAAAATGCATATCGTAACATTTCAATAAACTACAGTGACCTTGCTATCATTATCGTTATAGGAAGTAAAGTATTGAATATTATTAACTCTAAAATACCTGCATCGCTAATCGTATGCAAAATTAAATTACTTTAATTATGAGAACTTTGCTATCTACATTTTTATGATAATAATTAAAATCGTATTATTTTCTAATATCCAAAAAAAAAATTCAAGAATAAAATGAATAAAATTTAGTAACATTGACCTAAGTTTGGGCCAAAAGTTTAACGTCTTAGTTAATTTTAAATTAACATAAAGTGATGTTTTTTCTCGAAATTAATAAAAATATTATAAAAATGTAATTAAAGCATGAAACAACTAAAGCGTCATTATTTTCTGGAATACGTTGAAAGAAATTTAACATTTCGAAAGAATTAAAAAATTGTTAAATAAATTTAAAAATATATAAGTATTAAAAAGTGAATGTGCTTTTCTATTTTGGTAATTTTTAAATAATGAGAAATCCATATTCAATAAATTAAATGATTTGAATGAAATTTCATTGAATTTAAGCGCTCATTCAATTCTAATTTTATTAATTAGTTTTTGAAATTAAATTTTCGATACAAAAAGGAGAAATGTAATGGTTTTTAAGAATCAAATTTTGTTATAATCGATTTAAAGACATTAAATTTCAAATGGGACCGAAAGAAAGTTATACAAAAAAAATGTATATGAATGAAACTAAAAGCGTAAAAAATATTTCAATCAAATTGGAATGGAATAGAAATTAATTGATGAACCTTCCGTCTGCAGAACAGATGGTTCGTTTGTAACATTAAGTGAAAGCAATTGAAGATGATTCAAGAATTGATATTTGAAAAGTACATCGAGCTGGTACTCTACTCGAGATGTGTGAAATGAAATCGGTGTACGTTGTACCGTTCTGTAAATAATGTACCGTAATGCAAAGAACGACAGTTTTAAATATTTAAAGAACAAAAGAATACGGTGAGGACGTGAAGTAGATCTGAGACTAAGTGGAAATAAATTGAATATTATAAAAATCGAAATAATTCCATGCAAAATAATAATGCAACTTGTTTTTCTAAATTTATCTTGAATTACGTATGCTCTAATTAATACGCATGTAATATGTAACAAATGACCTTTAATAAATACATATTCTGTATTTGTATAGTATATACATATACAGTAAAAATAGTTGTATCTTGTTTATCGCATATTTATTATAATAATACTAGTTGCATAATTCACGGAATTACAAATAAACACAAAGCTTCTAGCTGAGGTCTTCTTGTGATAAATGTTATTATCAACTAACATTGCAACAATGATACAATAAACATCCGCTACTGCAATTGCACATTCACATACACAAATTATAACAATTTATATAAACAGTAAGTTTCCCAACATTATAAGAATATCCAAGGTTAAATAAACTTGTACAAGAAAGTGACGCACCCGAAACAAGTAATGTTTTTTTTTAAGAAAGTAATTACCAAAAAAATCATATCATTCTTCAATTCAAAAATTATTTTATTTAAATGTCAGCATAGTTTAACTTAATTAGCATACATTATTATTGCATATGACTGCGTATGACTATATACGTATAAAAATCGAATCTTATTATATAAATGCAACTTATTTTTATATTTTTATTCTTAAGTTGTTATTATTATATTTAAATAACTTTAGTTTTCATTATAAGACTAAAGTCAATTTTAACAAAATGATAGTGTTTTAACAGCTGCAGATGAAAATCTGGTTTAATAATTATATACACTTGATCATTAAAGTTAATGCGTAAACCGTAAATTTTATTAGAAATGTAGTATTGAAATTTTAGTAGAAAGGCGTGGAATTTATTTTCTAGTAACATATTTATTCAAAACTAGCTTAAGTATAGTCAATTTAAAGAAGTAATTTAAGTAGAAAGTGTAAATAAAGCGGAAAACTATTAAGTTGTCACAGTTTTCTACATACATGTGAAATCATCTATATCCAAGTGTTCAACGAACCTCTTTAAAAGATTGTAGAATATTTTCATACCGGAAATTCCATATATGTTTTCATTTGATATATTTAATTTTGGTATTGTAAATTTAAATATAATTATCCAAAAGATGATTCAAGTTTACGTTTTTAATGTAATTTGAATATCGGTAAGAAAATAAAAAAAAAAGGTGAGTGGGTGCGTCAATGAAACGTAACATAGCTATCAACTTGAACTTTTTAAAGCTTCATCATCGATTATAATATTATTTAGATGGTCGTAATTTAAAAAGAAATCCTGTTTGGGATTGTGAGTTTGCACAGAAGAATGTGATTCATTCGAATAAAATTCGTGCATATCCAAATTTAAGAGGATAATTTTTTGAGAATAACAATAGCAAGTCTTTATTAAGTTAGAAATTGATTAAAATAGAAACTGTCTTACCTCTGAATTGGACAGGTTGTCCAACGACTCCACCACTAACATCGGCTACTTGTATGAGTCCAGCATCGTACACTTTGGCGATGAGAGGACCACTAGGGAGTTTCTCTCCGTTCACGTGTACCTCAACAATGTGAGTTCCGACTTCGGTAGGCACAAATTCAACACTTTGCACTCCGGATCTGTTCCCAGGCAAAACGCGAGCCTGCACAGCCCTTTTGCTCGGAGATATTACGTGCACACTCAGATCGTCCGGAGCGGTATTTCCGCTGGTGATGATTTCGAAAACGGCCGCGGTATTGGCTGGCACCAATCTGGTAGATTCGCCCAGAACCGACAAATTCGATGTAGACATTATGTTTACGTGCCACGGACTACCTGGATATTCAAGACATATTCATTTCTCAAGAGTGGTGCACCAGAATAAATTGCATAAATGATATATATCTTATTATTGAGGCGCGATAATTGTAGGAAACGCGCGGCGAAGGTCAAAGAAAATCTCGCTTAATATACTGCTGCTGCTTCTGCTGCTGCTCATACGTCTAACGAGAGAAAATTAATTTCGAGCGTTTTTTTGTTTTCTTTTACCTTGAACATGAATTCAGTTCATCTAGTTAGTACATGTTGAAATGCAATTTATTTCAGGCGGTACCACATCTCAATAAAATAATCACGTCGAACGTTTGGTCTGAGCATACTAACAGTTCGCGCCTCGGAATGTGTTATGCAATTATCCGCGAAAATAATACGAATTTCAATACGACCCGTGAAGAGAAATCTCTTTCACATTGCCGCACACATACACAAATATACACAGAAAGCACAGAAAATTAACGTATGTTAAATGGTCGAAAAAGGAGTGTGACACGGATGTGTTCGAGACCGACACGCGTCTCAGAAGTTCGAACGCTGCGCAAGAACTAGCGACTTAAGCATGGTATGGTATGTAGGTAGGCCGGTAGGCGCAACAATCGTGAATTGTACGGCGTAGAGAGAGGTGTACGGGGAATTTTACCTGACATTCCACCATACAACGAGTCTCTCTCTTCATGCGGAAAGTGATCGTGCCTTTACTTCTTTGCACAGGTCGATGCATTTCATGTACATATACAATCAATTTACCTCGACGCATCCAAGAAAAAAAATTACCTTTACAGGATTGATTTATACTTTCATTCGATACTATAACTTTGCAACTTGCCCTAAGTTCTTCAAACGCAAACATTCCCATATCACATTCCAAAATGCAATAGAAAATGAATAATACCAATCATCCACTTTATAAATGTACATTTCTATTACGTAATAAACATTTATTGACTAAACAAGATTTAATTACTATTTTGGAACATCGTCAATTTTTCTTATTAACTTGAAACTTATTTATTCATCACTTAATACTTTTGAAAAAACGCACAATTTCTGTTCATGTAAAATAATTATTACATTACGTATATAATTACGTATCATTCTTATATTTCATAAAGTGAATAATCAATGCATTATTACATTGATAAATAATATTCAATAATGTTTGGAATCATAGAATCACTATATTCCTAACATTCGCACACGACACATTGAATTTAAAAAAATGCAAACTTCCATTTTTTATAAATGTGTATTTATATTGAGTAATAAGCATTTGTTAATTACGATTTCAAAATATGATTTAAGTACGTTGCAGGAATAAATTTCACATGAGATGAAGTAGCGTGAAAATATGTATTCTTTTTGTACACAATGCAATATACTGGTTGGTTGAGAATCGAAACGTCGCTTATGAAGAGTTTCACTTTTGAAGCGAACGAAACAATATGCAGTATTTAACATTGTCTTTTCATCTGCCTTCATGGAAATTATCATTAATAGTGATTTACAAAAAAAAAACAATCAAAAACTAATCAGAATCATGAAATGATCAAATCACAATTTCATATTGTAAAAATAGTATGCAATTGTATAGTTGGAACGCGTAAGAAATTAAAGAAAGTTCATCTCAAGAAAAATAAGAAAAATAAAACAGAAGACATAAAAAAGACAAGTCGCTCGAATAGGTATAAAACATACTGAATTGTGCGTTTTCTAATTAACGTGAAGTTCTCCTTTTCTGTCTTCTTCTTTTTAGTGAACGCTACGTCAATAAGGATGTCAGTGGGTCGCTCTTCATAGCGGTAAGATGCAACGCTTATGCTAATCCCCTTATTTTGGGCCAATGAACTTTCTAGAATTCGATTCAGTGCGGAGATTTTAGCTCAAGGAATATACTTTCAATTACAATTTTAAAAAAAATCGGACTAAACAAATGCTATTCTAAGGTTGTGTTGCCATTTTAATGTACTGCTTAAATCCAATATGTTTTACAAAATGCCATCGAATCATATATATATAAATACATCAACTCGCTCTTTCTGTTCAGAATTGTTGCTTTATAATACCGTTAGATATTTTATTTACATAACAAAGTGATTTTCTTTATAACATGTTATTCAATCACACTATTCAGCAGTACCTGATAATTACGTCTTAAATAAATCAACATTTGTATAGATATTTATTTGATGTTGACTTCCTGTGATGAACTCACCTTATATAAGCTGGAAAATAATAATTTTGTTGATATTTTGCGGTGCGCTGAAGAATGTGGCGAAAGTCAATACTTTTGTAATTCATTGTAATGAGCAAATGCACGTATTGCATAAGAGCAGAAGCGAGGAGATAATAAATAAGTAATGCGGCAACCTCCGCAATGTTGGAAAATATAATTTAAATTTCAAATTTACAGGCAGTCGCATTTGTATTCCTTCCTACCTACATACACATACTTCGAAAAAAAATATATTCTAAGACTTACCTGGGACAGTTTCACCATTAAATCGAATGTCTACCCTATGTGGCAAAGCCTGATGTGGTGTAAAGGCAGCCTTGAATCTCTGCCCACCCAAACTACGAACACTTGATGTTACCTTACCGCCTTCAACGAGAATCTCCAAATCTCCAGAACCAGCGCCGCTCCCATCAACTGCAAGAAAACAAACATATCATTTATAATTACATAATAATTTGCTTTTAATAAAAGTATTTTATTATTTTTGTCGATTAAGTATTTGATAAATAGATGATCAATATATGATGATATTGATTGTAGACTTTACTATTTAGATTGTTGCACTTTCAACTGTCAACATATGTGAAGTATAAATTAGCAAATAAAATCTAATGAAATAATTTATTGTTTTAATAAATAAGTTTCAAAATACTACAATTTATACATACTTCAATTTGTATATTCATATTCAATTTGTTATGTTCATACAAGTTGAAGTTAATATGTTAACTTACTTTCAAATTCTACAGGTTGTCCAAGTGTTCCATCCGGCACGGGTTGAACCTTAACAGCACTTGCTCCGCCTTTACCTAAACTCCTGAAACCGTAGTTATCAACCTTCTGGGTATAACTCTGCGATTTATGAACACGCTGCGAATCCAATTGACTCTCGTTCTGATTGTACGTCTGCAATTTGTGCACGCGCTGCGTATCTAGCTGGCTCTCATTCAAATTAGCCAACGATTCCAGACTCCTTTCTGATAAGATATTGCTCGTCTTCTTTAAGGCATCCCAGGAATCTCGCCTTGTTGTGCTTCGATCATTAATTTTAATTACCGGCGATGTATCTACGCTATCGAAACTGCTGTTGTAGCTGCGACTCTCGACGATGCTTCGATTATATTTAGATGTAGAATAATTAACGTCTGGACTGCGACGATCCATAGCGGGGCTTCGGGATTCTTGCAAACGTATCGATTGCATTTTATTAGAGAAATCATCCTGCTTTTTGGACGATTCGAAATGAGATCCCATCGCGGGGCTTCGGGATTCTTGCAAACGTATAGATTGTATTTTATTAGAGAAATCATCCTGCTTCTTGGACGATTCGAAATGAGATCCCATCGCGGGGCTTCGGGATTCTTGCAAACGTATAGATTGCATTTTATTAGAGAAATCATCATGCTTCTTGGACGATTCGAAATGAGATCCCATCGCAGGGCTTCGGGAATCTTGCAAACGTATAGATTGCATTTTATTGGAGAAATCATCTTGCTTCTTGGACGTTTCGAAATGAGATTTCGTTGTGTAACTCGATTCGTAATCATCCTTCCTATGAAAACTCGGACTTGAAGCGTATGCTGTCTTTGCGTACAAACTCGGACTGGATGTTTCGTATCTTGATTTGTGCGAGTACTCCTGCTCCTTCCGAACAAAACTCGAATTTGGGCTATCAGTCCTGGTATTTAACTTTTTGCTTGTTATGTAGCTCGGACTTTGTGGACGAGGACTTAGTGGTCTGAAGTAAGGACTTGTTGGTCGGAATGTTGGGCTCTGTGTGCGCGGAGCTAGAGAAGGACTGCTGGCTCTTGGGATGTAGTGAGGACTGTTGTCTACAGGAGAACTAGCTGATAAACGCCTCTCGGATAACCTATGGTAATCTTGAGACAATTTATGTGTCTCCGTTGCGAAACTGGGACTAGCGTTTTGACGGTAATTTTTATTTGTTATGGAACTGTTCAAGTTTGCTGCTTGAACTGTAGTTATGGGACTAGCAGACAGATTACGCGAAATAGGACTTTGCCTGTACGTCGGACTAGAACTTGTCTTGGATCTACGTTGAGTGCCGACTCTCATCATAAAAGGAGAGCCTTTAACATCGTATCCATTGAAGTAGACGTATACCTGTAAACGGCAGTAAATTTAATCAATTTTAATTTCTGCATTTCATATTTTACCCTATGCTTTCCAGGAAGAACTGGCGTAAAATGTACGCGATGCAAATAGCCGTCAGCATCCACCTTCTCCATTCTAGTATGCAACGACTTTTTATCGTGCACCACATCTGCGTAGACTTCTCCTGGTACGCAAACATCGCGACAATCTAGGTCAATAGCGTGAGGCACCATCGGCAACGCACCTTCTAAACCAGACACCACAACACCGTTGGGATCGAAAACTGCGCATGTAAATGGACCACCCTACAAATAAAAGACGTATTAAGTATACATTCAAATGTCATAAGTTTCGTAATAATACTTGGATTTGTTTTCCCTGATACGTAATTTCAATTCTCCATTCACCAGCTTCGTCTGGCTTAAAAGTAGCACTATTTGTACCATCAACAATAGTTAAAGGGCATGCCAAAGGTCGCCCCATTGGGCTGTAGGCTGTTACTAAAATGTCCTCTCGTTTAGGAGCACCTAAACGATAAATAATTATTAATCTTTAGCTATTAATAATATTGATGTATAGTTAACCTGTAGCATTTACTAACACTTGGACTAAAGAACCAAGAGCGCATGGAGCCATATCTGGAGGTAAGACTTCAACGAGCGGCGGTAGAGCCCTGAAATAATGCTTAGAGGATACCTCTTGTCCTTCGTAGTAGACTAATATCTCGTGCATTCCCATTTTCTGTGGCACAAAAGAACCTCGTCCATGCTTCAAAGAACGCTGAGGATACACTTTATTATCAGGACCTCTAATTTCAACTGATAATCTGTCATATGCTAAGGATGAATCCATTAAAGTGACTTGATATTGCGTCTGTAAAAAAAAGATAACCATTGAAAAGAAGTTACATATTGGTGTAGAAATTTACGGATTCTCCGACGCGTCCGGACGTTGATTCCAATTTAACATTGATAAGGTCGTGAATTGGAGGTCTTTCCGGAATCCATTGAAAGTTAGCTGCATAAGCCATCACCCCCAGATGTTCAACATTTATATCGGCCATATCTCTAGCAGACAATATAGGATGTACACCTAATCGTTTTCCCGCCTCGACTGCTTGAGTCAAATTCGATTCCCAATGCGATGGCTCCGTGCGGAGTTTCTCTGGAGCTGCCGAAGATCCTCCCAAAGATCTAATTACCTCGCTAATTACACGTCCATCGTTCCAAGCGGACTAAATAAAATTGGAATTAATTATGAGTCATTTTAACGATTATATCATTGTTACTGTAAAATTCTCGACGGGTCGTTCCAATCTAGAGTTGACCCATCTGAGCGTCGCATGGAATCCGGGCGAACCTGGTTTCATGAAGTACGAAAGGTAAGTCATTCCAGATAATTCGTCGAGCCAAGGAGACGCCAAATATTCTGGTTCCAAGACAGCCGGTATTCCGAGTTCCTTATTAGCGATACTCATTGCCCTTCGGCAATTGTCAATGCCGTCGTGTTTATCTGAAATATGTGTCAAGAAAATGAGGTGAAGTGAAACAGGTAAAACATATTCTGGGAAATGAGCTACGTGCGTGTGATTGTGAGCAGAAGTATACAATTTATACTTTTCTTTTTTCAATAATTAAACTAATTTCAATATTATGCATTAGTTTAATTAATTAATCTCATAACAACATGCTTTGATAATAACATAATTATATGTTGCTCTCTTTACCATAATTTTCTATTATTATATTTTATTGAATCGAGTAATAATTGCGAGTAATTAATGTATATAATTTACCTAATTTTCTCCAATGCGGGAACAATCCTGGTCTACAGTAGTCGACAAGGGCTGACAAAAGAATACCGGAGTTCCAATCCGTTGTCAAATTGTTGACTTTACATTCTGGAAGCACGGCTTGCAGCCAAGCCAACATCAACTTCCTCGGCGGGAATTTGGATCTGCCAATTTGATAACGCACAATCAACGACCATATTAAACCCAAAATCAGTTTCAGGTTTCCATTCACTATATCGACGTTACCTGCAAAAAGAAAAATCAAAGACTTTATTAATAAAAATCAGTTAACGGAAACTCAGTGGGAAAATTGACGCTTTCTTTGAAATAGTGATAAAGCAACAATCGCGTCTCGAGGTGAAGCGCTATAATTAGATTAACAGTGAGTACATTAAAAACACCGTTCTCCTCCATTGTCTACCAATTTCCTTCTTTAAACAATACATATTATAAAAATCATTGAAAGTCCATGAATGCTCCCACGAGTACAAAAATCTTGAACAATCTATAAAAACCGCAGATTGATTTGTTAATCACTGACAATCCAATAAGATTTTATTAAATATAACTAATTGTATTGTAAAACAAAATCTTATGCGATGGCCGGGAATCGAACCCGGATCAACTGCTTGGAAGGCAACTATGCTGACCATTACACCACCATCGCACTTATAAATTTATGATTTTTAATAAACAGGCGTTAACTATTTCGGTTTAATATTTAAAAATCAATTTTTAATATAATATAATGACATTGTAATAAGTATTAATTGCGTGTCATCTGAATGTATCAATATAATTAAATGCGTTCAATGTAGGTCGAGGTTGCTTCTCCAACCTTGAATTGAAATCTCTCGCCGTTCTGCATCTACCTACATTTTTTTTTGTATTTCTCGCAGCCGTCTGCATTTATCATAAATCTCGTCACTGATTTGTAATACAAATATCCGTTTCGGCTGGTTACAGCTCTGATAGTTTGCCATACACCGTAACGCTTTGATTCATATGTTCCATAACAATTCTATAGCTTACCAATGTTAACCAATTTGACTCCATCTTGTTCGATGGCATTTAAGGCGCATGCAACATTCTCCAGGTAGTGATGCTGATTCATAGGTCTTTTATTCCAGGACGGCTTAATTGGATGCCCTTGCAGCTTTTCCACTAAGGTACAGAGACGAACGCCACTGCATAAATCTTGGCAAAGATCAGCCACACGCAAATTGGATGGAAGATTCTCGTTCACCCAATTCCGGAATGTATTTGCTTGTATTTCAACCCACACATCTTCATTTCCTATAATAAATGAAATAATTTATGTAATTTTAATTATAATAACAACATTTTAAAACATATTTAAAGTTGTAAACAAACATATTTTCCAATATAAATTTAATGTAAACTATAATTATTTCTTTTTTATTCAACTAATAATTAAATTGTTGTAGAAATTAAATTTGTATACAAAGTTAGTTTAAATCAAAGCTGTTCCTAATAAAAAAATACATACACAAATGTAATTTGTATAATATATTTTATATGTTTTATTTCATTCCTATCTAATTTGATTGCAATAACCTGGGTTTAAAAAAAATAATGATGTCATAAATTTAAAAAAAAGTGATGTCATGCATGTTCGTTAAAAGAGCAAACTTATATACACAAGAAATAATCGAAAGCAAGTTTTAAAAACTCTTGCACGTTAATTGAGTAAATTATTATGTATGAATATTGATGAACAAATTATAAGGAATTCATTATTAATGATTTTGTTATTGTCGTATATGCAAGTGCATCATTCATTTCATCAAGGAGTAACGTAAACTCCTTGAAGAATTAATGTTAAACAGTTTATAATTAATTAATCTGATGTTAATAATTAAAAGAAAACAACATTTTTTTTTCAATTAGTATAGTTAATTATAATTATTTCCGAATCCGCAAATGCGATGCAAAACCTACGATTTTCGTCACAATAACATACCTTTAATTTGCATACCACGTGCTGCATGTCCTTCTGGACTTCGAGCCAAGAGCCCACTGTGTGATATTTTACCTTCCATTTATGGTTAGCACTGTTTTTAATTTGAAATACACGTAACACCAACTATTTACTTAGAACTGTGCATGACAAATGCATGGACACCGTTGGCCGCCAATCCGCATCTAAGGACACAATTCGCCACCTAAACACATTGAATTTATAATGAATCGCTTGCAATAGTAAAGAGAAATACTTTTAGTTTAATAATAAGTATTATCGACTTGGATATATGTAAAATTGTAATGCAAATATTTAGTTTATGCGACAAAAAGGTGTAAAGCTATTTCCTCCGCGATAAAAAAAAAACGATGTTTTCAAATCAAGGCCGCCCCAAAGTCATTTGAAACAAAGCACATTAAAATTTCGTCGAAAATAATAACAACCATATATCTTCATTTTTCGTGACTCGTTCCCAACGAAACAGGACATTATGTAAGAAATGATTAATGTATACATTTAATGCCTAATTTAGTACGTGTCCGTGAAAATAAAATATAACTAATTAATTAATTACACATTCAATTTATCTTTATAAACTGCTTTATTCTCTGTATATAAATTAATAAATCTATTAAAAATAATTTCGTATCGTCTTAAAATCCATAGTTTTAAATTAGCAATGATTCAATCATTACCTAACTATTTCGAAATTGAATATATTCACACAGTTTGTGTTTTATAAAAAACGATGTTTTTTTTTCTGGTATTTTCTTATGAGGAAATTGCATAAGTCTATTTTGGTTGCTGCTATTCGAAATCGAAGAAATGAATGTATCAATTAAATAGCGTCAAAGGAAATACAATTACCAAAGTTGAAAATTTGCAAGCGATATATTTTATAAACGAAACACTTGTTTATTGTTGAGAATTAACAGTTGCACTTCGAAATAACACCAGCACTCACAGATACACTGTTTGTCCTTAGTAATCCGTACTTTATATATTTTTTGCTACAGTTAAAAGCGACTTGTTTTGCTCGTTTCACGCATTCTAGATGACATGTGTTCATTAATTAGCGCGCAATCTTCTTGGTTTCCTATTGGAATAGGTCCGCACGGTCGGAGCTGTGCAACAGTTGTGGTGTGGTATGGTGGGTACTAACTATAAGGTGAGTAAGGTGTGTTACGTAAGAATAATACCTGTATGGCAGAGCCTGGTCAGTAGAAAGCGGTTTTGATATATTCGCTTTAACAAAATACAAGCGAGAAGCGAAATGCTATAAAAATGAGCACTAAAAACGCGCAGCTTACGATTATTGTAGGATGCTTGTACCTACAAACATTCCCATATTTACATATTACACTTCAAAATCATATTAATTAACATGTTTGACTTGTTTGTTTTCGTTGTTATTCGCATTTAAGTCGATTACAAATATTCTCTCAGAAAACATTGATTGATGTTTTTGTTTGCGATTTACATTATCTGGATGAACAATAAAGTAAAAATTAATTAAGTTGTGTATTATCCTTTTAAGTGAACAATGGATATTTTAATTTAAACGTGCATTAAATTTTACCGTAGGAATGACAATAACACAGTGATTTCATACGCCAAGGAACGAAATAATTGTTTAATATAATTTACTGTTGCGCTATCAAAGCAGTAACTTATAATAAAAGTTTCTAACATAAAATTTGTATTGTATTTAGTCGATTAATTAAACTAATTTTATAATGCTTGGGATATGTATATCATATTCACCCACTCATTCATAATACGTTTTCATTCATTATTTTTGCACAGTCTATGAAACCTTATATAGATAGACACGTCAACTTTTGTTTGAATAATTTAAATAAACTTAAATGTGTACAAATCAATTAAATAATTACATGATATTCAATGTTTAAAAATATAAATGTTCACGAATTCGAACCTAAAAGAGAAAGAACTCAGGTAGTTTTTCTGGTGAAATTCCTGTCTCGTGAAATAATATCATTGTCTCTTCAAGATGTGACTAAAATTCATTTACATACATTATGCGGTGATAACCATATTATTACATTATGACGTTTATTTTATTATTACTTTTGGTATGCATTTATCTCTTGTATATAGTACAACTTTAGTTATAAATGTTTAACTTACAAAATGATATACGTACAAATAACATTTATAATTCTTTCAATGGACTTAAAATTATGAAAATTTGTTTATTAATATTTTCATCATCATTTTATATTGTGCAAAATAAGGGTTTCTAAAAATATAAACTCATAAAATTAACTATTTAACAATATTTTATATCATGAATTCATATAGAATATTTATAAAGAAAATCCATGATATGCAAATAATAAATATGCAAAATAACTTCAAATTGTTATAGGCAACCAAATATACATGTATCTAAAAATGTATTACCTTTTACAGAGACAAATATTTAAGCAAATGTACTTAATTATTGATATTATCTCTTATATTAACTTTAAACCAAGGCTATAATACCTACAATTGTTTTACAGATACTTAAACAGGATTAATAAAATAGTCATAGTTGCATCTCATGAACAAAAATATCTCTCACAACCTTCTTAGAAGTAAAACATATTAAAATACAATATACAGTAATTAAACCTATTTTGTTTGACAAGCAGATTTACAATTTAATAGAACAGAGACAATTGAAAATAGAATTTCTATACTTAGAACTATGCATTATTGAAGGATGTACAATAATAAATAAACATTTTTCATGTAGAATATAATGAATAGATCAACTTATTATTGCATTTTAGGTAGCAAAAAGCGATTGTAAACATCTATTTACAATCTAGTTTCCCATTTATTGATAATTCTATGATACTCATACACGGATATCCTAAAACATACATATCATAAAATATAATTAAGTTTGTTTGTTATAAGTTAAATCTATTTATTCTCGACAATACTAATTATATTACCATGTTGATACAAATGAATAAAGTTCAACCTTGATTATACGACCTGCTTCGACCCACTTCGACCCGAATGGATGTTCGTGTATGTACGATCTATTTTTTAACGTAAGCTGCAATGTGATTGGTCCTCGAAGTCATTGCCTGCCGGCGTAAAACTAAACTATCCTTGGAAGTAAATCATCAAGTGTGAGAGAGATAGCTGAAACGAAGAATATGGTAAATATACAACTGCATATAGCGAAGCGTTAACAGTGAGGACAAATATTTTATAATTACCAAGCGGAACAAGAGACAAAACTGCAATTGTTGCTGTACGTATTATATCAACTCGATACTATATAGAATTATCTTCGTAATAAACATCTATCTCCATTTTAACAGGCCAACTTGCAGCGCCACTTGAAAAAACCGGGTGCGGTAATTCAAAAGCTGCTCACCAGAGGCATAGTACTCGCGTTACCGCATTTTTGGCAGATAATGCTAAAATATCCAACAATTTATATTGTTATAAATGCTAGTGACAATTTGGAATATCCCATAAGCTAAACATTGAGTATGAACAAAACAAGAAGTGGTAAGTACATGAATATTTATAATCCAGCCAGTCAATTAAACATTACATTTATTTCAGTAAACTAAGAGCAAACTACATAAAATGTCTACTGAAGACATTGTGCAGGTGATGGAGGTTTCGCCAGATGTATTTGAAGAATCTGATGCAGAGAAAACTGAGGAGTCCTCAGAGGATGTAAAGGATGCATTAGAAAAAAGTATACACACAGTGGAGATTGTTGAGGAGATAGAAGGTGAGGATGAAGAGGATGAATCCATGAATCCAGAAGTTAATACTTCTGAGTCTCAAGAGTCTGTGGATTCAGAAAACTCCTCAACAAAAACATCGAGAGAACTTAAATCAATACTGGAACTATCAAAAGAAGCCAACCTAGACACTAATATTGTTCATAAAAGGAAGGCTATTGATATGAAGTCTGATAGTGATGGGAGAGAATCTCCTAAAAGAATTGTGGTAATGAAAAAGATTTCATATGATGATTGTGAAACAACACCCAATGAAGAGGAAAATTCCTTCAAAGCCATAGTGAAGAGGAAAAGAGATAGTACTACAGAGAAGGTTGCAGGTGGCGCTAGTGATGAAAAAAGATACAAGAAGGAAATAATGCCAGATTTAAGTCTTATTGAGGTATTAACAACATTTTATTTACATATTACTATATACATCATTACTTGATCCATCAATTTAGTTCATATATTTTTGTTAGAAGCTCTATTTATATCCCATAAATGTTAACCTAAATTTTAGGGGCGGACCTATTGATTTTATGCAGTTAAATAAGATCAACAGTATTTTTAACTTCTTCTGATTTATTTATAACATATTCTAAATCTACATTATGATCATATTTTGTTGATTTATATTATTAGTTTGTGTGTATATATTTCTATATTTTTTTTTTGTCTCTAGAGAAACAAAGATGCTTTTTGTTGGCGTTGTCATAAAAGTGGCGTAAATATATCTTGTGAAGAATGTCCTAGATCTTTTCATACAAAATGTGTAAAAATTACACAACCAAATAGTTTTAAATGCTCAGAGTGTTTAAATAGTAAAAAGACATCATCCATGTAAGATAAATTTGTTACAGATAAAATATAGATATAATAATGTAATTTTGTAGATCACTTTCAAACCTAGGAACTTTATTAAAGTATGCACATAAGAGAATGTTGCAGATAGTTGAAGTAAGTATATATTTTATGTGAAAATCTTATACAAATTGATTACATTTTATATTTCTAATTTCAGTCTGAGCCTTTTTTATACCCTGTAAATGAAGAAGAATTTCCAGAATATAAACGCTATATTGTTAAAGCAATGGATTTGACGCAACTTGGAAAGAATTTGCTTAATAACATATATCTGAATACAAATGCATTTGAAGCAGACACAAAATGGATTTTACATAACAGTATAATATTTAATTCATGTAAGTTTGTAGAGTAGTATTTCTTCCCTTGTTTTGTTAACAGCTTTCTGGATTGGTTTTAATCTTTTATTTTGATTTTTTTTTTTATAAAATTTACATAAAGTTCTATGTTCAGATCAGTCAAAACTGACAACAACTGCCAAGACAATTGTAAAGATCTGCAAGCAAGAAATGTCTGAAATAGAAAATTGTGCAAATTGCTATAGAAATGCCAACACAAAGGAAGATTGGTTTGTGGAAGTGTGCCCAAAGCCTCATATGTTATTATGGGCAAAATTAAAAGGTGTGTTTTAAATTAATAATATTCTTTAATTTATATCATTAACATAATTTAATACTTTAGGATTTCCATTTTGGCCTGCAAAAGCTATGACTGTAAATACTACAGGGATGGTGGATGTGCGATTTTTTGGAGCGCATGATAGAGCGTGGGTGTCGTACAAAGAATGTTATTTGTACTCTGAAAAAAATCCCAACTTAAATCAAATGAAGAAAAATGATATTAAGGAATGTATTAAGGTAAATATATTTATGTGTTATATGTTAATATATTAAATAATTGTCTTTTTAGGAAGTAAATATTTATATAGATAATTTTAAGAAGACATTTGGTAATTTTAAATATGCAGACTATAAAAGTCCTTATAATCCTATAATACATAATTGGGAAGTATATATAACAAAAAATGTATTGCTAAAAGATGAAAAGAAGACTATTTTGAAATCTGATAATCGAACATCTACTCCATTAAGCCACGTTAAATCACCTGCAAACTTAAGTAATGCTTCTAAATCAACAGATGATATTGAGAAAATTAGTGATACTGATGAAGATAGTCATGATACTGAATTCATTGATCCATCAGTGGGACATGTCACAGGTGACAGTCATTTCTTTGATGAATGTGATTTTGATACAGAAGGTAAAATATTATTTATAATTTTTAAACTAAATATTTATTTTATATACTTTCAGAAATGTCAAACGAATCAAGTAAATCTAAAAAACAAACTGTGGCTGATAAAGATAATGCAAACGATACAAGTAAAGTAAGTTTTTCAAACTTATCTGACATTATTGATAATTCTAAGAGTTCAAAAACTTATAGTAAAAAAGATTCAAAATTGAAAATATCTTCAAAATTATTTTTGAACTTAAGTAAAAAAGAAGGAACCAACAAAGATAGTAAAACAAATCATAGTGAAAAAACAAAAGAAGTCACTGACTCTTTGGAAAATTCAGAAAAATGGTTAGAAAAAACAAAATCTGAATTACCCTTGCCGCCGTTAGTACCTATTGGAAAGAAGAAACTTGACTTTGAGGAAAAAGAAATAGTTGATGTGTTATATCCAGAACCTACATGTTCAGATTTGAAGAATAAGATTTCTAATGAAAGTAGTGTCCCATTGCAGAAAGAAATCAATAGAGAAAATGAGGCTGAATTGAACCATATTAATGAAAAGAACATTGATAAAGTTGTGTTAGATAAAAGTGAAGAAAACCATTGTGTTGATACTGTGAAAAAATCTTCCACCAAAGCTATTGTCGAGACTACTGCTAAACCATCCAACTCGGCTGCGGAAAAGAAGACTGAAACAACAAATAACTCGGAAACATCTGCAGAAAATAGAAAAAGAAAGTTAAGTACAGATGATAATACGACATCTAAAAAGACTTTGCGAGTGGTAAATGTGGAGGAATTGGTTGACAATCAATACACGTCACTTCAATCACTTTTAGAAAAACAATTAGTAGCAAAAACTACAGACCTTAAAGAAGTTAAGGAACCTAGCGAATTATGCATGGTAGAAATTAAAACTGAACCATCTGAAAACGATGACGATAGCGAATATATGACCGCCAAGCGACGATTGCTTTCTGCTTTGAATATTTCGGAAAAATTACCTGAAAGTCAAACTCCATCCAAATCAGAAATTAGAACCCGTTCAAAAACTGATGAAAAAGTAGCTAAATTAAGAGAAAATCAAATAAGGAAAGATGAACCCGAAGTAAAGAAAACTGAAAAGAAAGTTCAAAAAGCAACAATAAAACAAAGAGCAAGAAAAACATTTCCAAGTCCACGGCAGCCAGTTCATATAAAGCAGGCAAAAAAACCTATAGCTATTGCAAAGTCGACTACGAATATGACAACAGCTCCTAGCTGCACTATGCCATTACAACAAACGACTGTTTCGAATCCTACTACCTCAACTGCTGTTATAACAACACCGTCTGTTGTTCCCCAAACAAATCCTGGCACAACAAATATGATGATTTTACCACAGCAATTGGTATTACCATCAAATCAAGCTATGCAATATTCCGCAGCAAGTCCATTAATAACGATGGTACCCCATACTGGAACATCATATGCTAACATAATTCTTCCACAAAATCAGAATCTAATACCCAGTTACAATTTCGCATCATTCAACGTTATACCTACTATAAATGATCAATCACAACAACAACACCAACAAATCACAACCCATAATGATACGTTAACAACAGCCACGACAACGATATTGGCAAATCCAATTATCGATTCGATCAATGGAATACCAGATTCTTCGAGAAATATAAATGATGTTTTCCATAAATTGCCACCTAGGTTAAAACCTAGGCCGCCTGGTCCATTAAGCCAACATTTTGAAGAGAGTATACCAAGCTCTGCTGGTCCTGTTACTGCAAAAATTAATTCTATATCGCATAAGGTATTTATCTTAGCTAATCGCATGATGTTTTTTTGTAATATATTTTTTTTTTAGCTAAGTGAATACTTCAGAGGAATGCTTATTGAGACTTTAAGTGATGTTAGTAAAGTAGACAATCCCGAAGCTTCGATTGCCAGTCTGAAATTGGAAATAGAAACGTTAAAACATAAACATAGCGAAGCTCTATTAGAAGTTAAAAAGAATTCCCATACGGTAATCCAAGATATGCAAAGGAGTTTGCAAGAAGAGCGAGAGAAAATTATTCAAGAAACCAAGTCGTCCTGCGAACACGAAGCGTTACGAAGGGTGGAAGAAGCTAAATTAAAGCAATGGTATAGTTAAATATTATAAACTTCAATAGAACAGTATTAACGTTTTAAATTAATTTTTAGGTGTGCCATGTGTCTAAAGGAAGCTCAATTTTATTGTTGTTGGAATACTAGCTACTGTGATTATCCATGTCAAAGTAAGCATTGGTCAACGCATATGTCCAAATGTACTCAAAGTAATAGTACTCAAGGACAAACAAGCTTACCTAATATTACAACGCAACCCCTTATTTTACGACCTACTGCGCCTCCAAAAGGAATGTCTGGGGTAAATTCACTCTAGCTATATAAATAATGTTAAAATGTAATAATAAAGTATATTTTGATTACAGAAAGTAAAAACAACTAAACTGCTTGTAAACAAGCAAACAACAAATAAAATGCCACTAAATATTGTAAAGGTATTTAATTAAATGCAACAGATGGAATTAAAATGTTCAATTTCATTTGTCTGTTGTAGTCAACACCAAATGCAATAACGTTAGTCGAATCAGGAAAATATGAAATATCAGTGGACAATACGAAATTGTTGAATTGTCCGTCATTTTTAAATACTGTACAGTCTGGAATGACAACTAATCAACATGCTTCACCAAAGGTGATGCTACAAAATAAGAGTCCATCAATAAATAAGAATGGAAGTGCTGGTGTAACAGAAACAAATGATAACTAATATCGTTTAGAGACATTTTATTATTAATATTTGAAATATTGATTGACAACATTTTCTTTATAATATATTTCTGTGTATATAAAATTATGCTGATGTTCAGTTGATATACATTTTTTCCTTGCTTAGTATATTTTGATAATATTACGTTGTGTATGTATATATATATATAAATCATTTCATTTATAACTATACTTTTGTATTAAATCATGAATAAATATATTCATTCATAAAATGTTTTTTATACAATATTAATTGCTTTTTCATATAGTTTTGCACCTGTCTGACTTTCTTTTTTGATGATGAGTACGACCCAGATTGACTTCAGTAAATTGCCTTGAATGCTATAAATAAATAATCTATTTGCTACAGTTCAAATATGAAAAAATCTTCCGAAACAAAGAAGTAGATATTCTTTTGTTAGGTTTTATTTGTTTTACATAGTAAATACTTCGTTGATTTGGCAACGTTGCGTGCCAATTATTTGAACGTCACATGTAGGTTAGAATTGGTTATAGAGATAAATCGAGGCATTTAAAGAGATGGTTTTATGTGTGGTGGATATTATTGTTCGTTAGTGAAACATTGAAAATGAGTGAAATATCAGTTTTAAGTTGGACAGAAAAAGACGTCGAAGAGTTTCTAATACGGGAAGGTTTCGATCAATCCGTCATAATAAAACTTTGTGATGAAAATAAGGTGAATGGGAAATGTTTACTTTCCTTGAACGATCAAGATTTCCAATTGGAACCCCTCAAAAACTTAGTGCTTCGTGATAGGAAATGTCTTTACGTTGCAGTGAAAACACTGCAACGTGAAAATCACAATCTGCTCATAGAACTGGGCCTGCTCGAATTGCAGTCAGTTAACTTATACAGTCATTCCATTAAACAAGAGAGTGAATATTGTGAGTCTGAAAGAATATCTCCCCCAGCCTCTGAAGATGGCAGGTCACAGCGTCTACCTCCAGATATATGGAAAGCCTTCCTTAGTTTTTGCTATGTTGTTTTTGTCACTTGGATTACAGCTTTTGTAATGGTTATTGTACATGACCGAGTACCTGACATGAAGAAATATCCTCCACTTCCAGATATATTTTTAGATAATGTACCTCATATATCCTGGGCCTTTGATATGTGTGAAGTTACTGGGACATTCTTATTCACAATTTGGCTTATAGTCTTGTTATTCCATAAGCACAGGTAATTTACTTTGTACTTATATAATTTGACCTTTGTTATTTTAAATTTTCTTTGTTTATCTTTTATATGAAATATTTAAAGCAATTTATTTATGTACAAGTACCATTTTTACATATAGATTAGATGTTTCATGACTCATTGATATACAGTTAAAATAATTACTTATTCTATGTGCATGCAACAAAAATGAACATAGGCTTTCTACTTCTGAATAAGTAATATTGCAAACAAAAATACAGTAAACCCAAATGATGTATAGCTAAAGCTGTTTTCGTAAATATATTAAACACGATAATCATAATACACTAATTGCGAAATGTTGTTTTCTAAAGTAGTGTTTGTAGTATACATAAGCAAATGTTAAATGATAACGTAAATTGAATAATCATGTTAAAAAAATGCAGTATCAAATTACTGATATATGTCTTTTTTGCAGTAATTTATTTACGATGTTTTAACGAGTAATTAAATTTTGTGCCTTTACTATCGTAAAGGCAATTACTGTTTATTTAATTATCGTTAGTATAATGTCTTGTGTTGTTATTTTCTAATTAGATTTGTGAACCAAATATACAAATAGATATTTGTAGGATAATCGTTTTAATTCCGTCAACGGATTAAATTGATAGCAATAAAGAAGAATAAGGTTGTCGCATTTGTAAAGCAAACACGCAAACAATAATAATGCCACAAAAGTGGGTAACAAAGGAAGTTTTAATGTTCCAGATAATAAAAATAATGAACTTTAATTCTATTTAAAGAAATAGTGCCTATATAAATATCAAAGGTTGCTCTCTATCGCGTTATATATAATACTTAAATGCTTTTCTGAACTCAATTAATATAGGTATCAATATTCTAGGTTCATCTTGATGCGAAGATTCTTTGCTCTCTCTGGAACCGTGTTTTTACTGCGATGTGTCACCATGCTGATAACGTCTTTGAGTGTTCCCGGTGCTCATCTACAATGCGAGCCAAGGAACTATGAGATGCAGGAGACGACATATGATCATTTGATATTCAAAATATCGCAGGCGTATTTTATCTGGAGAGGTGCCGGAATGTCGATACAGGGTGTTCGCACCTGCGGTGATTACATGTTCAGTGGGCACACCGTCGCCCTAACTATGCTCAACTTCTTCATTACTGAATGTAAGTTCTATATTTATTCAACATATTATCATTAATAGAATTTTTTTTTTATTAGATACGCCGAGACACCTGTACTTCGTGCATACTCTGACATGGATTATGAACATGTTCGGTATATTTTTCATTTTGGCAGCACACGAACATTACTCCATAGATGTTTTCGTCGCCTTTTATATAACAAGCCGTTTATTTTTGTATTATCATACTTTATCAAACAATCAGGCTCTGATGCAGCGCGATTCGACCAGGACACGGATTTGGTTTCCATTATTCTCTTATTTCGAATCCGGTGTTGATGGTATCGTGCCAAATGAGTTTGAAAGTCCGGCCGAAATTATGAGCAACCTTTACAGTTTCCTGAGCATGAAATTGAATGTATTCAAAATTTGTGAAGTACAGAATAATACAAATAAACAGTCTGATAGTACTGGCGCTGGGAGTAGTGAATTGGATAGAAAGACAAAATAACGTTGGTTTACTTAGATAATTATTAGTTCGATACGGATCACGTCTGCCAAATCATTTTTTTTTCCGAATGAGATATGTAAAAGGCTATTATAGTTTGTAATAAATAGAAGTTTCGTTAGTTCTCCAGTAAGTGTTATTATTTGTATTTTATTATTATTATTATGTTAATTGTTAAGCTCGTTTCTATAGAAATTGTACATTTTACAAAGATTTTGATATATTTTCTTCTTAGTTTTGTTAAATATATACAATTTATAATTATTGTTATTTACTGAACCAGTAATTTTAAATGTAATATTCAAAATGTTTCATAAAGTGTATAAATCTTATGATTAAATATTAAAGAATCACGACTGTATAGATTTTAAAAATGTCATCAATCACAAGAGCTTAGCTTTCATTTGTTTCCTCATAGTTTCCATTTTTTGCATATTCAGTATTTAATGATTGTAATTAAATTAATGCCATCAAAATTATAATTCATAGATCGTGAATATGTATTTTACATAGTAAAATAAATATTTCTGACATACAGTACTTTCATTAATTCTACTTTTGAAATATTGATTTTAATCATAGGATCATTCCAAATATTGCATTTAATATTATAATAAGCAATAACATCACATTGTTAAATAATAATAGATGCATGTTTACTCGTCAATGTGTAGCATCTGCGTGTTGTGATTTTTTAAATTGTTAGTACCAGTCATAATACTTTCTGTTTCGATAGAAAAATAATGTGTGATAACCATATTTCCCATAAAAATGTTTACAAACATTATGTTTTACTATTATCTGTTATAATAATACAAACAAATAATTAATTGTACCTTCCTATTTATTGTATTTAAACATTATACATTTGAACATATTTTTGTTGACTAAATAAAATATTTTATATCACAATTGTGTTTGATTAATAACAGAATTATGATGCTTTAAATTGTTCTATTTAAATATTCAGTAATTTAATGAACTAATCTTCAACTTCCTTCTCATTGTGAATTTAAATACATATATCATTATTGTCTTATCAATTTAAAATGAAAAGATTGTTAATACGTTTTCTATTTCTATTTAATATTTCTAAATGATTCACGTTTTCCTACTTCTTGGTTTTAAATGAAACAAATATCCGGTATAATATATGTGCTAATTTTGTTTGAATCAATGTCCTATTCTTCAATTAGAGTTCTTAGAAATTCATTAATTTGATTATAGGATATGTAAAAAAAAACAGACAAAATATGTCTAAGATTTGAATTTAGATAAATAAAAATATTGCGCATCTCTACATTAGATAAAATACAGCAGATGATTTATATCCATTATCATTTTCGGAATATTTATGTTAGTATTTTGATAAAATCACAGTAATATGAATTACGTTCGATAATATAGTAGAAATATACACAATTCATTTTTATCACTTGGTTAAAAAGATGATTTTTTAAAGTATTTTATTCGTTGCTTGTAGAACAAGTACTAGGTATAATGTATAACTATGATTGCTTTAGTAATTTCGATGAACAAGCGTTAGAGCAGAGTTCATATAATTTCAGAAGCGAACAATGAATTGTAGTGATTATTGGGAAGAATATTGTTTTATTAATAAAGAGAAAAATTATATTTTGTCACAATTAAATGAAGACACAAATGATGTATGCTATCAAAATAGTATTAACTATGTTTGCTAGGAACTTTCTGCACTATAAAGCAAGAGGTCCATCCGCCCAGCATATCCCAGAGTCCAGATTAGCACCTCCTTGACGAAGAAATGACGATAATTTCTTACCTCCTTCTCCTTCGGGGACACCTAGCAACATAACAACCGTTTGTTTAATAAAAAGTAAGTAAGTATTATTTAGTAAATGAATTTTGTTGTTTCGATGTTTAGTAAATATTTCATGTTTATAACAAATTAACGAGAACACAGAATATGCAAACGACGGTTGTATGTCGAAGGAGCTATTATTGACTAACTACATTCTGACTTAATTATACAATTTATTATTTTTGATTATTTACAAAAGTTAAATGTTCATTTCAATTGGTACTAATTAATTGATTGATGTAAATCAATTTTTTTTTATAATACAATTCTATGTGCCAAAGAAATAATTTGAAATTGCAAAAATTTTAAAGATCAGAAACAAGTTAACTATTAACAAAATGTAGTATATAACATTACTATATATTTCTAAAAAATTTGAAAAGCTAAACTTCCTGTTATAATAAATAACATTCAAAATAAAATATGAACTTTTATTAATTTTAACAATTCCTCGTTCCGTTAAGGTAATACCGATAATTAAGTTAAAAGAAATGACTCTAAATTATACATCATTTATTAGATCATTCATTTAACTTAAATAAATGATAAAAGTTATTTTGTAAAAAAAAGAAAAAATCAACAATGTATATAATATATATAATAAATAAATTTATGTATCACCGTAGTCGCGATCGCCTACGTTTATTCTATCTTGGGCAGCCGTTACGTTGAAGCCTAGAATACGTGAATCAACCTTCAGCATCTTCCTCTTACACTTTCTACCTTTGGACTGTAAAGAGACAAAGAATGTCGTTAATGAATCTATTTCTTGAGATGCTAATAAATATTTTCTTACTTTGACTTCTTGGAAATCGCTATTATTATGTTGGACAGATGGAGTGATCGCAGGTGCCGGAGAACACAGGTCATCTTTATGGGTGGTAACTTTTGGCTTGAAAAGGCGACGTTTTTCTAAGAACTGAGCGGCAAATTGTTGGATTGCCGGTTTGTCTCCTAAATATTCACGGCAATAATCACGCACATCCATAGCCGATTCAATATCACGTAAAAAGCTAATGAAAGTGGGAACTGAAATTACAATTATTAAGATAAATAACCATTAAGCCTTCCCTTTGTTACAATATAACTTACTATCAACAGTAGTATTCATGTTAGCTAAAGTTTTCGTGCACCATTCAGTGAACTCGTCGGTACTTGAATTACTGTTGTTTGGATGCTCATCTTTTTTATTGACTTTAGTTTTCTGCGATTTTGGAGTTTGCTTTGGGGTGACTGTTTTAGTTTCTTGTACATTGTTTACCTTGCTGGCACTTTGTCTTTGTGGAGGCTCTTCCCAAAATCCTAAAATTGCCGTATTAAATAAAATTACGATATTCAAAATTATAGCATGATTAAATACCACTAGTGTCATGATTATTTGTCCAAGTTAAACTCTGACCACTCCATATACCAGCAGCAATCTTAGTCTCCTTTTCCTTGTGTTGTAATGATGCTTGTTGCTAAAACCATATAAGCATTGCAGTCAATATATATTTTACATGACATTATATTTACTTTGACTATATTCTGGCACTTCTCTTGTTCCTCCGCCTGTATTTCGGCAAGAGATTTTACATTGCTTGCTTTCATTGGTTTATTGGCCCAACTGAGTTGAATGTTTGATGGTTTTTCCGGTGCTTGTTCTTGCATTTGCAACACACGTTGTTGCTGCAATAGTGCTACTTGTTCTGCTTTACGTTCACGCTCCAATTTTTGGATCTCGGATAAACTAAGACCTTGGTTACTGGATGATTGGCTCCACGGTGCGGTCTTTCCCCAGTTTTGATTGTTTATTGCCTGTTGGCGTGCGAACTCCGCTTGCTTCTTTTGCTGTTCCTCGCGTTCTTTTGCTGCCAATCTAAATAGATGGATTTATTAGAAAACAAAAAGTATCCAAAAGTATAATAATTACTTTTCTCGTTCCTGTTCTTCCAGCTTCCTTAATTCCTCAGCTTTTTTTCTAGCCTCTTCATCAGCTTTTCTTTTTTCCTTCAGGCGTCGTTTCTCTGCAAGTTCCCTCTGCCGTTTCTCTTCTGCTTCTTTTTTGGCTTTTTCTATTTCTTTCCTAACTCTATCATCATCCTTCTTACGTTTCTCCTCCTGTAACTTCTTTTCGGTTTCTTGCTTCCTCTGTTCCATCTTCCTTTTTTCCTCAGCATCCTTTTTAGCCTGTTTCTCCTCTAGTTCCTTTCGTTTCTTTTCTTCTTTAGCTGCTGCAATTGCAGCGGCTGCTATGGCATCATTGTTAACATCGCTTTTATGATTATCTTTAATATTAAGATTCTCGTTATTCATTTGATGGATTTCTGGAGGAGCCGAAGACATATTAGCTGGACCTGACTGTGGCATATCCCACATACTAATAGGTTTATCTGTAGCAGGCCAGGGGGGCAACAGTTGTGATGGTTGTGGCATGTGCTGTTGTTGTTGTTGTTGATTACCAAATTGGGTCTTCCAGAACATTTCTAAATCCATATTCGGCTGTTGTTGCTCAACTGGTGGTTTTTGTTGCAAGTAATGCAACATGTTGATATTGTTATCGCCGTCCATCTTATTAACACTAGGTTGCTTGGGAATGACCGATGGAGGAATTAGATTATTCTGAGGAATCAAATTATTTTGAGGAATAATCGGCATTCCGCCACCGTTCATAGGAATTCCGTGAAGAGTGGGTGTAGGCAATACGTCGTGTTTCATTGGCGGCGGTCCGGACATGTTATGGGCCATATTTGGTTTCACGTGCATACGACTCGGCTGCATGCATTGGAGACCACCCATTTGATGAACTAATGCCTGAAGCGGATCCAATGGAATCGGGTTTGGTTGTTTCTCAAGTGTTGGATTAACGGCTAACTTATTAACCTATTTTGTAATTAGAAACAGTTAAATATAATTGATTTAATTAGTTAAAGACAGTAAAACCTTGAGAATCTGCTGCCTCATTGGATGAACTTGATTAGTTGGTAGCATGATGGTGTCAGCCATCTAATTCGAAAAAGCAAAAGTTAGCCATGTTAGTCATTTTGTTAATATAATAAAAGTGTTACTTACATAATGTTGCATCATTTGTTGGTTTATTAATTCTCTTTGCTGAATAGGATTAATGGCATTCCAGGGTTCTCCTTGTCCAAAAGGTCTACTAACAGCAGCAGCACGCATTGCTTGTTGTTGTGCATATTGAAACTGGATATCATCCGGCACTTTTTCTTTTTTCTGAGGCGCTAATACAAATGTTTGAAACGGATTTCCGCCTCCGCAAACATTTACCAAATCGCCCAAGGTGTAAAATCTCTCATCACATTGCCTACGTACATAGAGAGTTGTTGTAAAGTAACCTGCTCTAAACCATTCTGCCATTTCTGTTGATAAAAAGGGTCCTTGTAAATCGCCCTAAAAAGAATACACGTTTTGTATAGACAATCTATATTAAATTAATTTCATTAACAACATCTTACCTGAGGATCTTGATAAAACCATTTATCTTGAATAGGCATCATATTTGGAGGTGGTGGTAAGCCATTTGAATGTGTTACAAGTGGGGAATTCGTTGGAGGTTCTTCATCTACAACCAACTTCAATACTAGATCTTCTTGTAACTTTTCAAATTCTTCATCAACAACCCTAGAAGAAAATAGCTATTGATATTTTCATCAATTACACAGATAATTAGAAATCATAATACCTATTGCCAACATCATCTATAACACTATTTTGGTTCATATTTCCTTTCATTGCAACATTGTTAGCCTCTTCTTGCTGAATAATTTGTTGCGTCTGTTTTCGAGGTTTAGGTAGAACGGATTGCTTTATAGAGGGTATATTTATCGGTATTTTATGTTTGTTATTTGTACCATCTTCTTTCACAGCCATAACTTCTTTTTCTTCAATAGCTTTCAATTTTTCATTCTCATGTACATGGTTCACGGATTCAACCACATTCTAAAATAATAATTATAGTAATATAATTATTATTTTAGTTAAAGTATATAAATTTACCGCAATAGTTGATGGGGGTTCAGGTGGTTTAGACAAAGACAAGGCAGATTTTGATGTAGAAAGAGGCACATGTTGAGACTTGGAGCTGATATTCTGCTGCGAACTTGATTTTTGCAAATTATTTTCCCTCCTAAAACCTTTCAATTCCTGTAAAAAAGTAATCTTTACAATAATATATAATCAAAAAAGATTCATATTTTCTGTAGTTACCTGTTCCTCGTCAGAACCGTGGAATGCGCCACTGGAATCAAACGTACCACCTCCTTCTCCCAAATTCTCAGTTACCCATTCTGGCAAATGATCGTCATTTTCAATAACACGCTTTGGTTGGTTCATTGGTCCTCGAGGAACCTCATGCCAACTCCTATTCATTTTGTCCACAGGTCCTCCTCTATCGTCATCACCTTCTCTCCAACTGGAAGTCCTGGCTAATGAACAATCAGAAATTATATTAGAATTACAATTAATCATTATACTATTGATTGATTACTTACTCCATTTTTCTGAGTTTGTACCACCACGTCCCTGAAGGCCTGCTGTGTGTCTCCATCCATCGCCAAGTTCATCATTCCTATTACGTCTCCAATTGTCAACACCGCCAGCAGTTGACCTATTGTAGTTAAATTCCTTCCTTGGACTCCAGTCGGATTGTTCTCCGTTGCCCCATCCACCCGCAGCATCAAACGCGCCAGGTCGAGTGCTATAGGTTTGGAAGGTGCCACCCCTTCCTCCGCCTCTAGCAATACGACCACCACGTTCACCAGGTCCGACAGCACCTCGACCCCCACGTACTGCCGGACCCATGGGAGGACCTCGAGTTGCCCAAGGTCTCTATAAAAAAAAATCCAATTATATACACCTCAAAGACATTAATAGTAAAATTTTCAAATGTCCATACCTCGTCATCAACGACTGGCGACAGTGCAACTGGAGGTAATGATATCTCTGAATATAATGCTGGGAATGTGCTCAGAGAATTCGGGGCTCGTAATTCCTTTTCAAATAAAGCTAGCATCTCTTCTCTTCCGTACCTAAAACATCGATAAATTAATCAATATATTCTTTTAACTATTTTTTTATAAAATACCGATAATCTGCTAGCTGATATCGTGTACCGCCTGCGCCAATACCTGTGGAAGATCCATCTGATGATATCTGATTTCTCAACCATTCAGGACCAAAATTCATGGAATCTGTCATCTTGAAGCTGCAATTCATAAAATTTACAAGAGTAGCAGTAATGTTCAACAATGAATGATATATTTTTTAACTTAAAAATAGATAACAAGATATAGATCTAAACTTTTCATTGTAATCTTTATATACCTTATCACAAATAGTATTAATGATAAATTAAATAACAAAATAATAACTTATATTTCTAGGCAAGTTAAATTATTGTATTCTACAATGATACCAAATTACAAAAACAAGCTTAAATAACAAACAAAATCTAAACATTTTTAATAAATATAATCCATTTATTTAATAAATATATAAACAAAAACCTTAATTTATTAATAAACCATTTAAAGTGACTAAGACATATTCAAGTGAAACAAATCACTTTGATATAATTGTTGCATACATTATTTTCAAAGAAACAAATATTTCAGTGTAAAGTTAATATATTTTCAAATTATAATCAATTAGAACATTTTATAAATTTTGCAATTACATATATACAAATACCTACAAATAATTAAATTATCTGTACATAAATTAGAATTGAAATTAAAAAAAAATGTTATTAAAATATATTTTATGTACTACCACTTAAATACAAAAAAGTAACTGAAAATGGTAACAATTGGAAGCATTCCACTATTTATTTAATGCTCTCTAAAAATAGTTGTATTAAATAATGGTCTAGCATGTGTATATCTTGGACTGCATTATGATGTCACCAATGACATTATTTCAGAATGATGTTTATATATCATGAAATAGGAAACTAGGTCCTAAAATACTACATCAAACTAAATCTAGTCATTATATTATACTGTATCAAATTGAAAAAAGAGTAGCAGCATGGTATCAACTGTTTTTTTTTTCATTTCAACTTCAATAGCTCATAATATAGTTACAACAAATCAGAGTTAACGTCAGAAATATTGTATAAGAATTTTTGGTAATCTTTGTTATACATATTAAAACCATTTACGACTGGAAGCTACATTTACGACAAGTCAAGTTGGCATAATAGACGTCTTGTGGCTTGGTGGTTATAATTAGGTAAAATAATTCAGAAATTTCTAAGACATATGTTTGCATTTTCTCACCAGCATTTGCATATCCGCAGATTTCCTAAGATAATCGACAAGATAAGATTTTAATAAGACATACCTTCTAATTAGTTTCTCGCACAATAAATGGATCAACAACAATGGCTGATACCAAAATTTATAGAACAGTGACTGACTGCGCAGTCGTCGCGTTACGTGCGACGTTGGGTCGTTTTACAGAAACGCAAATAACAGAATAACAAATTATTTGAACTACTGTCAAATTTAACATTAAACGTTCGCATTTTATTATTTTCTAATTGATATTATTTCATACTTTATTTTTTAATTTAATCATTGTCTAACATAATATTATTACTAACAATTATATCACTTGTTGGAGTTTAATATTAGTTAAATATTTTATGTAATTAAAAACTCTAAAATTACTCTTAAAAATGTAATATATATATGTGCGAATTTTTATTTATAAAATTGAATAAGATTTTCGAAACGGATTCTTTTAATTTATCAGAAATTCTCCACCTAGCGGGAAAAATCTTAATGATCCACGGCGGAAGGAACTTGACACGACGCCATTAGTTCTTTTCTACTGTGATCGTCGAAGTAGCGTAAGTCGTCAAACTGTTATTTAGTTTTTATATAAGTTTTATAGTGAGACTATTCAAGTAATTTAATTGTAATGTATTATTATTAATAATGTAATGATTAAACATTCTTAAGTTCATTATTTTTAACTAATTATTGAATTATTGTTTTTCTAACCTAAAAAACATGTGGCTATGTTTTCATCCAGAAGCTAACTAATAATTATGTACATTTTCAGGGTACAAAATGACCAACTCAAAGGGTTATCGTCGCTCCACAAGGGATTTGTTCTCCCGCAAATTCCGTCAGAAGGGTGTTATCCCACTTTCCACTTACATGAAAACCTACAAAGTTGGAGACATCGTTGACATTAAAGGTAATGGTGCCGTACAGAAGGGTATGCCATACAAGGCTTACCATGGCAAGACTGGACGTGTATACAATGTAACTCAACACGCTGTTGGTGTTATTGTAAACAAGAGGGTACGTGGACGTATCCTAGCCAAGAGGATCAACCTCCGCATTGAACATGTCAAGCACTCCAAATGCAGGGAAGATTTCTTGAGACGTGTTAAGGCTAACGAGAAGTTGCGTAAGGAAGCAAAGGAAAAGAATGAGAAGCAATGCCTGAAGAGACAGCCAGCTCAACCAAGACCTGGACACATTGTTAGTGGCAAAGCTGCCCCTATTCTTTTGGCTCCAATTCCATATGAATTCATTGCCTAATTTGTACCCATATTAATAATTAAAGAAAAAATATAAACAAACTATTGGTTTTTATTTACATGCAGTCCTGTTTTTTTTATTATTCAGAAGTGTGGTAGAATTCAAACATACATAAATTCATTTGATTTATTTAAATCTAACGAATATATTTACAGAATAAAAATAAAAGGTATCTCTGCTTAGCAGCTTTTCACTTTACTTAGTGTATGTATATAATTATCATCTAGTTATCATTTCGTGTCTTTATCGCCATTTGCTTCTCAAACTAAAAAAAACTTTCATTCATTAAGAATGGGTGATCATGGGTTTAGTTAAATATTTAATATTGCTTTTATTAATTATTACTGGATAATTTATTAAGAAGTAATTAGTGGCAGGTCTATTCAATAAATAATAGTAACATGAAGATAATGGAAAGATGTATACATTTTAAATAAGTCTTTTTGTACAATTTTATTACGTTTTCGTTGCTGAATTATTTTTGATAAATTGCACAATCTATGGAAATAAAATAAGTTCCAAGTTTGTTCTTACAGTCTTTAAACAAAAATGATTCAAGTTTTGTACATGCGACTGACATCGTTGCAATTATTTTTCACATTTTTCTTTAATTATTTTGGAACATTCTACCATATACAATCAATTATTTTAAATTAAACAAAAATATATCCAGCAATAAATAATTTTATGTCAATATTGAATGATGACAGTAATCCTCTTGATAGATATTAAATTAAATAAAAAGCAATGATATGGGCCTAATTTGTGAAACTTCAATATCTATTAAGAGAATGTATATTGGATTTTATATATAAAATCAATATTAAAGTGCGTGAAATAATTAAACTTTTGCATATGAGAAGCATATTTGACTTACTAAATCCTCTTTAATTTCATATAACATTTTCGTCTTAATTTTATTTATATATCATTTATATACAAGATTTTTAGTTTGACAAGAAAATGCAGTACGTTTTGTGATTTCTTTCCACATACATAACTTAAGGCATTGAAAATAATATAAAGAAAAACAAACAAATTTAATAATAACCATTCTCCTCAGAGAATGTACTTTTTATAATTTCCCTAAAATGTATTGCTTTTAAAAAATTAATTAGAACCTTTATTTCTTTGCAATATAGATTATGGGGTGCAAATATTTACCATTGCTTGTTTTTATTACAATGTGTTTCATGAATGCTCTTAAACTTCCAGAAGTATAGCATCTATATAGTATTGATATTGAATTATTTGTATTTTTGATCACCAAATGCAACCTACAGTTCTTGAATGACATCCTTCACCAGTTTCTGGTGAAAGTAAAGCTCATAAACTTTCTCTTGACTGGTAAAATAAAATGTAACCAGTCTCTGATGATTTTTGGGTATCAGATGTTAAACCATAGAAATCCTCAATCGTAGAAGCGTCAATTTTATCTACCTGATCATCATCAAATAATAACCAAAATCCGTGGCTTTTAACTATGCTAATATAATGACCTCTATTTGGTCCACTTCCACAATGTATTACAACTGCTACCAGATCGTACAGTCTATCTGGATTTACCGCATCATCAGACTAAAACAAAAATCATATTAGAAAAGAAACAGATGGATTATGTTTTCATAAGTTACTGTGTTGAAAAGACGTAATTCTAAAGGAAAGACAACCCGATGCGACACCTTTATGTGTCTATTATACTGTTCCATGTATTTGAAGCGTTTCAGGTGCAACGCCAGGATCATTGGCAGTTTCTTCACTCGCATTCTTTTCTGCGCCTCCTGGTAACTGCTGCAGTTATCACATTTAAACTTGTTGTCACTACATAAAGTTTCTGTGTTGCTGAAGCACCGTAAACAATGAGTGATGCTTGTATTCTGTTCAATATCTACTTGCAGATCAAAGAAGTCTTCATCCTTGCTGCTTACTGTTTCACAGTTCAAACATCTTGTCTCACTGGTTAGTATACCCTGAATTAAAACATATTAAACATATACATTAAAAATATTAATGTTATTATTATACCTGGAATATTTCATGAACCCATGTTGGTTCTGGTTGTGTATGTACAGTGCCATTCTCACCTGACGATTTTGATTTTACATTATTTGTAGTTGCATTCTGCTGCCTTTCTGCTAAGATTATTTCACTAATATGATTAATTAAAAAATTTAAAAATTCATGTGCATCTTGCTGCATATAATTATCAAACTCTTCTGCAAATAAATGATAGTAATATTTACATTAATTATATATTATTTATAATATACCTTTTTCTTTTCGAAGCCTTGCTATAAATTTTTTTGGTGCTATGCTGCCTACTTTTTTTTTCTGTGTCGCAATACTGTGAAACAAGTCTGCAAGACATGTGAGCAAGGTCTCCTTAGTTCTCTTATTTTTTGCTTTGTACTCTAATACTTTATCCCTAAATGGCTTGCAGAAATATAAGGCCTGCAGCACAGAGTTGCTATAACATGTATTACCAAACTGAAAAGCAAAATATTGAATAAGTAATCTAATAAGAATCATACAGGAACAAACCAATCCAATACAATTAATTACATACATCATATGAACAATATTCATGTCAAATGCTGTTTGTTGTTAATTGTTGCAGGATTCAGTCATTTCATAACACAAAGTTTAAAACTTCATGTAATCTATAAACTTACATTAACTAATCCAAAATAATGTTCATTTGATGGGAACTGTTCTGAACCTATGTCTCGTTCTAATTGGGAAATATTGGCACCCTAAAACCAAGAAAGGTACTTACTTACATATACTCACTAGCAATTATTATTTAATTAAAACATTTAGTTGACATGAGATGAATACTCCAGAGAGGTGTCAAACATTTTCATATTATTTTATTATACATTTCAACACCAACCAACCGAGCACCATTTTTTATCCTCGCAGCATTGCCTTTCCTTACCATATTTCCGTGGCTAATCCATCGCGGTTATGTGAAAATCGGCCAAAATAAACACATTTAACTTAGAACTTAACTCCATTATCGCATTTTGACAGCTGTAAAACAACCAATGATAACAGATTGGCGATTTCACTGCTTATAACACAAGAACACTAAAATTCCCTAACGCAACACCACCAACATTAATTAACATCCGAAATTATTATTTGAAAATTTAAAAAATATTACTTTAAATAATTATCTTATTTACTTTATATTAAATATTATATCTCAATAAATATAAAAAAAAAACAATTAGATTTTTAATTGGCTATTGTTATGTTACATTTTTAGAATATTTTGAAAGCTTTATGTAAGAACTGTTTGAATTTATAGCCAAAGGTTGCTTTTAAAAAAATTGGTGGTATGTACACAAAAATAACAATTTGACCTCTGTTATAATATTGCTTTATTTATGCGTGGTTATAAAATAAAATATATAAAAACGAAGAAAATTATTTATTAATATTGTGCTAGAATCTTCGAAAGACAAAATAAATTATTATCATGATAAAAAAGCAAAATGAAATTATAGAGCTTCATTGGCCTTATAATTTTCGAGACGTTTGTGCAATTCAATGCCCAGCTCGTTGCGTGCCACTTCCACCTCCTCCCTATTGTTGACATTCCTCAATTTGACCACTCCCTTCTGAATTTCTGATTCACCCAAAATGATAACCAAAGGAATCAATTGTTCCTCGCAATACTGCAACTGAGCCAGCAGCTTAGGATTCTTCTTATAGGAATGTTCAACTTTGAAGCCCTGGTCCCATAATTCTTTGCAAAGCAACATTCGTTGCTCGAACAAGTTTTTCTGTGCAGATGCAACGTAAACTTGAACTTCGGTGGTGCGTAGTTTAGATTTATTTGCCGACAATTTACTCTCCAGAACAGCAAATATTCTCTCTACTCCAATGGAGACTCCGACGCACGGAACTTGTTTATTTTTCGGATCAAACATTCCAACCAAATTATCGTAGCGACCTCCACCCGCCACTGATCCCACGGCTACATCATCTCCCTTTCCAGATTCACCTACAAGAAAATATACTGATTATGCTGTACACAATTTAATTTAAATTTTTACCTAACAAAACGGCCTCGTAAATAATGCCAGTATAATAATCCAAACCACGAGCCAAGCTTAAATCAAAGGAAATCATATCGCTTGTTCCGTAGATTTCGCAATATTTAAGAACAGTCTTCATGGCTTCCAAACCTTCGACGGCCGATTTGCTTTTAATTAAATGCTCATCCTGGAGTAATTTCTCGACCAATTCAATTTTACCGTTCAACCTTACGTATTCGCCAATTTTATCGGCTACTTCTCCACTTAAACCTTTTTCATCCACCATTTCTTTACGTACTTCTTCCCAAGGAGACTATAAAAAATGTCAATATTACGATAGATGTATTTCATATGAGAATATAACAAACCTTGTCTAGTTTATCAACAGCAGAACAAATCGACCTGAAGCTTTCAGCAGGAACACCGCATGCTTCAAACATACCATCCAACAATTTCCTATGGTTCAATTTAATAACAAAAGAGCCCAAGTTAAGAGTGCTCAAAATTTCATAAACAACTCTTACACATTCCGCGTCAGGGATCATTTCATCGTAAACACCGGCTATATCAAAATCCTATAAAAATATGTTACAAAATCTGAACAAACAAAAACAGACAAAACTCTTACGCATTGATAAAATTCTCGGTAACGTCCTCTGGATATAGAAGGATTATCTCTGCGATATACTTTGGCAATATGGTATCTTTTAATGTTACTAATCTTATTCATTGCCAGAAATCTGGCAAAAGGAACTGTAAGGTCATAGCGAAGCGAAAGGATTTCACCGCCCTGATCCTTCAAATCATAAATCAATTTGGAATCTTCACCGTATTTTCCAGTTAAAACTTCCTGCAATAAAAACAATTTTAAATGCATTCATTTCTAATCAAGCCTTTCTCTTCACCTTCAACTCAAAGATTGGTGTATCAATTGTTACAGCTCCATGACGCTTGAACACGCTAATAATCTTATCTAAAACAGAGGATCTAATTGCCATCTGTTCTGGGGAGTAGTCCCTGGTTCCCTTTGGGGTTTTGAGAGTAAACTTCTGGTTGGCATTTTGTGATTCCTCGCCTCCATTTAATTGCGCTTTTAATTGCAAAAGCTTAGCAACTTCCTCTGCAACCTAGAATTTTAAATAATAAAAAATATTAATATATAGTTGAAATATTAAATTATTGTAGTAGGTACTACACAATGAGTTTCAACAAAAATAATATATAGAAAAGGCCACTGACCTGTGGTTTATAAAAAATTGGACTCGTTGATAATTTAGCACATCCCACAGGCCAAGGCACTTGTGAAACAGAGCGTATAATTTGAAGCAACATAATTAACCAACCAGAATAACAGCAGAATTATAACTTAAATCAAACAAATACCAGTTTATAATCTTTAGGTTTTACTTATCAAATAAATACAATTTATATAATCAACTCTTATAAGTATTCTAATTTAATTATATTCATATATTTCTTTGCCTTTCTTTGATATTATGCACTGAACTATATGAATATTGAAAATGTGAATGTGTTACTATTTGCAATTCTCTTACTACTTTTACTTGCTGTTCACTTATTAAATTATTTGATTAGATAATTGTAAATCTAAGCACTGTAATTATAATGAATTTGATAAATATAGTGAGCAATATTAAATAACTACTACCACCAAATCATATATTTCTTATAAAAGTGATGCAATATGCTATGGACTTCCATAAGGTGCAAATTATATTACCTTTTCTTTGCTCTCTTTGGCTGCTTTCAGTTTTCGTACTAAATCACCCTGTTCTTTGATCAACTTTTCAATTTCTTCTTTGTTGGACATTCTGTTAGATTTAATAAAAAGGAAAATAAAATTTTATTTATGGAGGAGAAACAGACATGTATTAAGAATGTTTGCAACCAACTACTCGCTTAAACGCAACAACAGAACATACTACGTATACGACTACTAAGATTGATTCAATCCTATCGAAAATCGACAAGGACTTTCCCACACTATCCTAGACTTTCACTCTTTTTATTTCCACATAACCTAGAAATTGAAGATTTGTATCATTTTCCTAGCATGAGGTTTAATCAGTAAGATTGCCAACCCATAGAAAATATTAATAAAAAACGGCGGTTGATTACTTTTTGAATATTGTTGATTACCGTTTCTAACCTCTACATTTAAAAATGGAAAATGAAATTGCAGCTTGCAAAGAACTGATTGTAAACACAAACGTTCTGAAGCAGGTTTTAACAAATAAAAATGAAATAAAAGGTAATTACTTTGTTAAATACAATTATAATAGATATAATTGTTATGATTTTTATTTCAGAAATGCAAAAAGATCACAACAATTTTGAACAGAGTAAAATTGGATTGATTCACACCCTTCAAGATATAAATCACAATACTTCTTTAAAAAAGGTAAGTTAAATATCTGTTCAACTGTACATGTAGTATAAATTATAATGCTTCTAGGACAATTTAATTATGGAAAAGGAAAAGTTAGAAGAACACTGCAAACATTTAAGGCAACAAATAATTGAAGCTAAAGCTCACAGATTAAAACTTAAGTGAGTTTTTTTTGCTTGTTTCTCCACCAAATAATTGAATACTGGATTATTTTTAGGCAGGAATTAAAATCATGTAATATAATCACTGGAGCTGAAGTTATTTGTGAGGATAATGTCATTATTGCAAGTATCCTTTTTTCAGCAATCAGAAATTGTTGTGTGAAATATAACTGTGTGATTTCCTTAACAACATTGCAGGTATAAGCAATAAGATTAGCAAGGAAATTAGGTATGTGGAATTTGATCAAAACGATCCACACTTGAGTGATAAATTATGGGAGGAGGTAGAAGATATATCAAAGTAATAATTTTTAACTTATTTTGTCTAATTTAAATAACTTATGTGCTGTTTATTGTGGGACCCAATACTTTTTCAATATAATTGTATAATCTCTGGCATTTCTCTTTACTATTCACATCATTACTGCTGCCCCATATGATGACACCATCAATGTTAAACGATTTCAAGACAATAAACGAATTTCGGAGATCCTCCTAAAAATTAAAATAAAATAAGTATTTACATTTACAACGGCAAATAGTATTAGTACATACCAACGAAAGAAACTGTTTGGTATCTTGATACATGTACCAAAAATATGGAAGGATCTGCTTCCTCTCATCAAAAACTTCATTGATTCTTTGACTTTCAGTAATCCTCCCTTCGATCATTTGTACACGTTGCTTTGCGTTTAAGCGATTTTGCGGCATGTACAAAGACGGATAAAGATTATCAGTATTTCCAAATAACCAATTCATTCTGTACACAAACAAATTTACAAAAATTAATTTTCATGCGGTAACTAGAAAGCCGAACTAATGTTTTGATCATTGTAAACAAACATAAAAGCATATCTACTTATCAATTAAGTGCGATTACGTGTATTTACCTATCGTTTTCTTTTTGAATTTCCTTGCTGCAATCCCTTACAAGGTTACTAGTACCCATATTGAAGCAATAAGGATAAGCGTAGTAACCCCATGTGCCATTAGGTCTTAAGCTCTTAGCAAATAGCAACGTTTGCTCAACGTATTCCCTTCCCGCAGTTTCGAAACGTCTAGTCGCCTCTTTGATCAGTTGAGCATTATTCCACGACGGATGCTTTTGCCGTTCAATTTCAACAGATAGATTCTTGTAGGGCTCCAGAGCCGCCCAATTCTGCCTGTAAATCGGCCTCCAACTTTCGAAATCGATGATAGCAATTCCTATCGTACGAAATTTGAATATTAATACTAATCAATATTGAATAAAACAATGAAAATTACCATTGAAATCTTCGTCCGGGAAATCTCTGTATATTCTCTCCTCGAAATGGTTTAAATGATCGGTCAGATTCCCTTCCTGCGGAACTCCGCCGTTCCTGAGGAACTGCTTTCCGTTTTGATCCGTTAGGATCGCAGGAAAATTGCCGGGGTCGTAGAGGATGGTGATTTTTTCACCTATGAACTCGCCGTTCTTGTTTTGCACTATTCGAAATTTATTCAGGAGATCTTCGAAGTAGATCTTGTGCGATTTGCATTGAAAAGTAGGAGAGTTCCAGTAAACAGTGAATGGTTTACTAGGAATTTCTATTTTCTGAATTATGTTCAAACTGAAATTTAAAATTTTACGTATTAAACTTTCCCGTCCTTTATTTTGTATGTCGCAATATATTTTTGAGTAAGGTTAATGTGTTAATCAAATATTTAAACATTCTTAGCCTCGACATATACATGAGGTTTGTTTATTTGTACTGAATTTGTTTCAGTGATACAATTATTATTGAGACCGTCATGTTATGTGAATTAGATCATCGAATTCCTTTATCGTCGTACTATTATTTAAATATTTTTACAAGTACATTTCAACAATACAGCCTTAGATTAACGGATGTTTTACAATTACAGTTATTTGCAGCTTTTAACATATATTATTTAAAATATATATGTAGTTAATTTGAAACAAACAGTTTTATTATTTAATTATAAAAAGTAATCATCAAAAAAGAGTTTTGACTGTAAAACGAACGAAAAACAATAATTTTATAGTAAACTAATTCCAAAAGTAACAATGCGTAAAATATTTGTGTTAAAAACAATTTAAAATAATTTTTATTTATTTATTTCACTCAAAGTGTATTCAAAACATATTAGTGTAAATGTGTATTAATTCAAGTGTTTTAGTCTGGAAATTGTTTATTTATTTAATTTGTAAGTGCCGTGATCATATCTTGTTTTCTATTTTGTTTTTTAAATAGACGAATTTCCTAGTTATTGTATTTATTTGTTTAAAAGGTAATTACAAATAATTTGAAAATAAGATAAGTATAATACGATAAATATTTACTTATGTTGAGAAACATTACGTAGTAATTAGTAAACACAACTTAATTTTAAGTTTAATGATAGTTTAAAATGTTTATGGACTTACCAATGAGCTGTACTTGAAAATGTAGAAAGTAAAAATGGTAAGAGTGGAAAGAATAACATTATTCTCAATATTTGTGCGTCGAAGGTGCTAATAAAATAAGTTTCGCGAGCGAGCGCCTTCCTTTTATACATGCACACAATTTAGATAAGAAACCATTTATAAAATATATTTATATTGCGGAGCGCGCATTACAATTTCCATCACAATTTTCGTGCGAATTAAATCGAAAAATGTGACACGGCGCTTCCGGAAATTGCCACTTTACAAATCGTACATGTACATGCGACATGTAGGAAACGATTAACATGCAAATGGCTTTGGTGTTCCTTCAGGTTAATTACTGGGACTCGAACCAAATTAATGATTTCGTTTATTTCATGTTTCTTTCACAATTTAGTGACATACAATAAGTGTGTCGCTTGTAATTGTGTTGCTGTCGGAAATTGCAAATCATTTGATTTGCATTTTTTCTTTTCGAATAAAAAAAAAAGCAATCATAATAGTTCACCTGTACACATACACAGACATGGAACTCATTATTCATATAATAGCATTCAACACACCTGTGACATACATTCCTCGATCGCCTTAAAAACATTCTTCAATTTCAAATCGAAACTCGCGCGCTTTTCAACCGCCAACCAGAACCACCTGCTCTACTATTTTCATTGAGAACCGTTAATATCATCATCACTTACTCCAAGATGCTAGTTATAATTAAACAATTACAACATAATCTCTGATTAGAATAAATATTTAATTAACATTTTTTATATATTTGTATCAGAAAATGACATAAGTATTTTCAAACGGACCAATAGACGTGAAGCATTTTTTGACAGATGCTAGAAGGTGTTTTCAAAGTTTCAACCGTCTTTTATTTTTTTTTTGGTATCTTAGTGATCAGAGAAGATTGTGTTCTGTTCTGTGTGATAAACTTATAAAGTTATTTTAATCTTTGAATGTTTGTGCCTTCTTAGTTCAATAAAATGGAAGCGTGTAAAGACACAATAAGCGTCCGTGTGACTAGATTAAATAATCAACTGTTGAATAAGTCCACAAAAGACAAAGCACAACTGTTGAATAGGGAATGCCTATATGATGCCCTACAACTGTTATTTGATGAATGCAACTCGGATTGCCTCAAGACCTCTGACAAACAGATTGCCAGTTTTGCTGAGAAATACAAAAAGTCTATAATTGAATTGAAACAGTTGAGAGTGAATATCTCTGATTTTGAAGTTAAAAATGTTATTGGCCAGGGACATTTTGGTGAAGTGCATATGGTCAAGGAACGCCAAACTGGAGATATATACGCCATGAAAACAGTGAGAAAATATGAAAATTCAGAGCAGAAATGTGCTTCATTTGAGGAAGAAAGGAACATAATGGCTTTAGCACAATCCCCATGGATAACACATCTTCAGTATGCTTTCCAGGATAACAGAAATCTGTATTTTGTTATGGAATATCATCCAGGTGGTGATTTACTGGGCCTACTTTATAGACAAGGTGGTACATTGCCAGAGAGTGCAGCTAGTTTCTACATTGCAGAATTGGTAAATGCTGTCAATAAATGTTTTCCTCATTTTTTTATAACTTGTTTTTAATCTTTAGGCTGTTGCAATTAATGATTTACATGAAATGGGCTATGTACATCGAGACATAAAACCTGACAACATTCTATTAGATCGTTGTGGTCATTTGAAACTTGCAGATTTTGGTTCTGCTGTAAAGTTGAATAGTAAGGGTGTAATACCTCCTGGAGGCATGCCAGTTGGCACTCCAGATTATATAGCTCCAGAAGCATTACAATCACTTGATAAAACAACAAAGCAAAATGGGGCTTATGGGGTAATAATTAAATAGTTTATTAAATTATAAATGTTTAATTTAATTTTGTTTTAGAAATCATGTGATTATTGGTCACTTGGAATTCTTGCTTATGAATTAACTATTGGTGTAACACCATTTGCAAGTCAAAATACAACATCAACATATTCGAAAATTATGAATTTTACAAAATCTTTAAAATTCCCTGCAGATATTATGTTAACGCAGTCGTATTTAACGTTAATTAAATTGCTCCTGACTGATCAGAATAGCCGATTAAACTTTGCACAGATTATTAAGCAACCGTTATTTAAAAATTTCGATTTCAATGGATTAAGAGACCAAGTGCCTCCATTTGTACCCAAAATTACCTCAGTAGATGATACAAGCAACTTCACAGATGTTGAAGTGAAGAAGAAACAACCCAATATAGATAATTTTAAAAGCAAAACTAAATTCAGTGGAAAAAATTTACCCTTTGTAGGGTTCACATACACATCTGAACCACATGATTACAAAGAACCTTATAGAGCAAGTACATTGATCAAGGATGATGCTGTTGATAAATTGAGAAAAGAAATTGATACTTTGCAAAGAAATTTATTGAAAATGGATGGTTTAGCATTGGATAAAGATAATTTGGAAAGGAAATTGGAGGAGAAAGTAAGAAAATTGGAAGCGGTTGAGAGTATTCGCAATAGCTTAGAAAGGGAGTTAACAAATAACATTGCCGAGTATCATGTTTTGAAAAGGACGTTAGATCTGGAACGTAAAGATCGCTCAGAACTTGAAAGGAAGGCATTAGACTTAATGAAATGCGCTAAACAAAAATGGGAATCTGCCGAAAGAGTTAAAATGGAGGCTATAAATAAAGAGCTAGAAGAATCCAAAGAAATATCTGAAAAACTTCAGTACGACGTCGAAAAATTAGAGAAAGAACTGGAAACTGCTTGGAAATTATCAAACAAACATAAAGCCTCTATAGAAAATGTGGAAAAATTGAGAAGAGCAAGTGTTATTGGTTTGGAAACACAATTGGAACGAGTGACTGAAGAAACTGGAAGCAAAGTAAGTGCACTTGAAAGGAAGCTCAAGGAACAGACGTCTATGAAGGAAAATATTGAGCAAAAATTAATAGAGTTGCAATCAAAAGAAAACGATTTGCTCAATAAACTGGAATTGTCTGAAAAACATTGCTATGAATTAAAGTCTAAGTGCGTAGAGTCCGAAACAATAATAAAACAATTGAAAAGTGATATAGACATATTAATAAAAGAGCGCAAAGAAGTTGATAAATATGAAAGTATTATACATGATTTAGAAGTGGAGCTGGCAACATTAAAAGTATTATATCAAGAAAAAATAATGGAAAATGAAAATAATAATGTACTTAAAAAGCAAATTAAAGATCTCAAGAGTGAACTCAATACAATGATGAACTCGAAACTTATTGCTGTAAACGAATTAAAAAAGACATACGAAAATGAACATTATCAATTAACGAATAAATTGAAGAAGGTAGGTATTGAGAAAAATGACTTGGATATTAAATATAAAGAAGCTGAGTTATCGTTACAAGATAAAGAAGAGAAAATGAATGCTTTGGAAGAAATGTTAGGTAGACTTCAGTCTGATTTAACCAAATTAGAAAATGGTTCAGAAAGAGAAGCAGTCTTGCAGGAACAAATTGAAAGACTGGAACAACAATTGTTAGATGTAAGTATTTATTATCTTGTCTATTTTTGACATAATTTTAATTTGTATTTGTCAATTTAGGAGCACGAAAGTTCAGCTGTAGAAAAACAAGAACATAGTCAACTAAAATCGAAATTTTGGCGAATGGAGAAGGATTTAAATAATGCACAATTAGACAAAAAGATTGTTGAGCGTGATTTACTAGAATCTCGAACTAAAAACAAAGAACTTTCAAATGATATTCATAATCTGAAGCAACAAATTGACTCCAGTAAAAAAAGCAACGAATCATCACTTCATGATTTGAATGCTTTAAATACGAAGTTAGTCAATGAAATATCCTGTTTGAAAATGGAAATAAAAAGTGTTCAAAAGAAAATAGATGCGGGAAAACAAAGAGAAAATATTTTATCCGAGGAAATTGTAAGTCTAAAAGACGAAGTCAGAACTAAGGAATTAAAAGTTTGCAACGTTTTGAAAACTGTGAATGATATTAAAAACGAAAATGATATACTTCAGAAGAAAAAAGGGGAATTGGAAAGCCAAATGGATAAGTATAGAAGTAATCAAAAATCGATGGAAATAGAAAATGAAAAAATGAAGAGCGATTTAAAAAGTGTACAAACAAGTTTAGATGAGAGTTTAGTGGTAAGAAAAATATAATTTATTCGACTGAAAGTAATTTTATTATATCTATGTACTTTTTTTTTTGTCGTAGAATCGTAAATCTCTGAGAGATGCGTGTCGTATTTTAGAAGATCAGTTAATTGAGTTTGAGAAAATATTGGAGGTTTCCAATTCTAAAATTTCACAACTACAAGGCGAAGTCAAAGAACATCAAAATAAAATGGATCAGCAAAAAGCCGATATTTTGAGTTCTAAGAAACATGCAAATGAAGAAAAATCCCTGAAGTTGTTAGCTGAAACTAAGCATAAACGTTTAAATGAAGATTTTATTGCCATCAAGAAGGAACTCGATTCTTATAAAGAAGATTGTAAAGAATTTAAAGAGTTTTCTAATACGTTATCAGAAGAATTAAATGAAAGCGAGCAGAAGAACGCTTCTTATCAGATTACCATTAAATCATATGAAAGGCAAATGGAGCAGTATGAATCGGAAAATAAAGATTTGAAAGAAGAGAAGTCTGCACAATTAACTGTTATCATTAATTTAAAAGAATCGAATTATAAACTGAATAAAAGTTTCACTGAAGCCAAGGTAAATTGCACAACACTTGTAATTAATGTAATATTTCTATTAATATTTCATTTTTAGTTAACAATCACCGACTTGGTTGAACGAGTAAACGATTTAGAATCTCAGCTACTGGAGAAAACACAATATTATTCAGAAAGAGAACTGAAAGCTAACTCGAGATGCGAACAGCAAACGAAACTTATTGATTATTTGCAATCTAAGGTAGGCTACCATTTATAACATGCATTTAACATAGTATTCATTGAATTTGTAATCGGTAGATTGAAGATGCTGGAAAGAAGAAAAAGACATTTTCTGATAAACTTTTTGGAATATCGAAGAAGGAAAATGTACCGCCAATATCCATAGCTCTTAATTACAAAGACATGGAGCTACAACTAAAAAAAGAAAAGGAACATACTAAAACATTGAATCAAGAAATTATTAAATTAAAATCTGAATTATACGCGAAATCAGAGAATGATATTCTTAATGAAACCGTTAAACATGTGAACATGCAAGACGAAATGCTGGCACAAATTGTTCAAAGTCCATCATCGCAAAAAAACGATTTGTATCGCCAAAATTCTGTTCAGAGGATGCATCATAATATACCTCATAGGTAATGTATTGGTTTTTACTTATTAAAGCATAAATAATAAATATATTGTAGATTTGACTCAAAGTTGTGTACGAAACCAACAAAATGTGCTCAATGTGGAAACCATATTATGCTTGGAAGACATGCTAGTATATGTAGAGAATGCCACCTGGCAACGCATACGAATTGTTCCAGTTCCTTGCCGAGTACTTGTGGATTACCATCGGCGTATGCTAGGCATTACACAGAAAGTTTATCAAAGATAAATGTAGAAATTCAAAACCGAGTGAATGATGATGAAAAACGTATTACCGAAGAAATTAACGTTGAAGGATGGGTGAAAATTCCAAAGTAATTACTGAATACCATCATATGTAGTACAATAGCATTACACAAATTTTTCATGTTTCAGTGGATCTTCTGGATGGGAAAAACATTATGCTTGTCTAACTGCCACAACTTTCAGCATTTACAATGAACCACCAAACAATAGAGCAGCAACGATCCCAATACACTCATTGCACTTAAATTCCAATAATGAACATGGAAAGATTGTTTTAGAACCTCTCGCCTCGGAAATCGGAGTTCCGGTGGCAAACAGCGATCTTCCTTTCATAATAAAAGTGGAAATAAGCCCAAACTCGACGTGCTGGCCATCGCAATGCATAATATTCATGACTCTTAGCATCGAGGATAAGGAAAAATGGTATAAAGCTCTTCATAATGTATTTCAAAGTCCCGAGAAGTTTCTAGGTGATGTCATTTTTAAAGTCACCGATGATCTAGAGGTAAACTGCTTGGTGGAATTGAATAAAGACACCAGAATTATAGGCACTGAAGCTGGATTATATGCTATACAAAAAAATAAGCTGCTGCATATTATGGGACCGACGAAGGTATTTGAAATCGTTGTTATAAACTCCCTGAACTTAATTCTGATGATTGTCGACGAGTGTCGTGTATTGATTTCATGCGATTTGAAACATATGATTGGTTTAACTGAATGTGCTCAAATCACTAAACCAACATTGAGATTCAAAACCCATTCCCTCAATAACTTGGACGGTTTCCACATTATAAAAGCAACGAATAAGAATGCTTGCATTGCAAATCCTAAGCAGATCGTCATTATGAAATATGATATGGGGAAGAAAGAATTTTCGCCGGTGCGAATTTTGGATACAGCACAACCTGTTAGTTGCATATTGTTTACGGAGCACAGTTTAATAATAGGTGCCGATAAATTCTTTGAGGTTGATTTACTGAGTTTCGAAGCAGATGAGTTCTTGGACGTTTCAGATACAAAACTGAGCATTGCCTTGAAGTGCTTCAAAATGCAGTCGTTTCCCTTATCTATTATGCAAATATCCAGTTCGCCAATCGAGTATTTAGTGTGCTTTAACGAATTTGGATGCTTCGTTGACGCTTATGGTAGAAGCAGCAGAAACCGAGAAATTGCTTGGGTGCATTTACCACAAACATTCTTCTATAGTAAATCATATTTGTATGTGGTGCAATTCAATGCAGTTGAAATATTTAAATTAACGAGCGAGAATTGCGACGATGAAAAAATTGAAACTATTAAATTTGATATACAAGCTCCGAGATTTTTGGGTGCGAACGATAAGGGTGTTTATTTATATTCAATGAATGACATCAAATATTTGGATGCTTTCGTTTTGGATGATAATGCCTCTGAAACTACGGAACAAAGGGACGAAGTCGCCAGTAACTCAGATAGATTTAGCTTCACCAGTTCTATAGTACAAAGTTTAGATGACAACTTAAGCGAAGCTGAAGAAGAGGTTACTTATGTTAATGCAAGGAAGGTGAAATTTAGTTCAACAGATTTGTAATTCTTTCTTTTTTTCAAACAGAACTTGTATATATTAAATATTTAATAAGTACACTTAAAATGAAGCTTGGCTTTGTGATAGTTATTTTTAATGTTAACGAAATAATACATTTTTTTGTTGCTTTTACAATATGTTTATTGTGTTTATTTTTATTTGCCCCTTTATATAAGGAAAATATATTTAGATTCTGTACGTTTTTGAGTTATAATAAATACATTCATTTAAACATTGTCCAACAATCGCAATTTCTTAATAAAAATAAGTATAGGTATATTTACAAAATATATATATATATATGTACACATGAAATAAGTTCCATTTTGCATAACAGAATAAATCTGAAAAAACAATTTATCAACCATTGGAGACTTAAATCCTAAACTACCAAATTCTGTCGAAATAAATTCAACAAAATCAACATTGGTTCAGACTCAAATAATTATATATAACATGAAAGGAAAGTTTAAACCAGCTAGAAAGTATCGATATTGCTATTGTTTTTTAAAACTTTTCAGAATAGGATATATGTTATCAAAAGCTTCGTAAATTTCTTGCCTAACTTTTGCACCTGTTAACACCACTTTCCCGGAAACGAAAATTAATAATACTATTCTAGGTTTTACCATACGGTAAATTAAACCAGGGAATAATTCTGGTTCATAAGAGCAGAAAGAGTTGTGTGTTAGAACCAAACCCTCCAATCTAATTGGAAACTTTACATCACAACTACCCACCATATTTTGGATTTTAAAGTCTAAGAATTTAGCTGGAAATCCCAGTTTCTGTATAATTCTAGCATATTTTCTAGCGGCCAGCCTGGAATCATCTTCACTTTTTGCGCCCGTACACACCATTTTACCAGATGAAAATATCAATGCGGTGGTCCTAGGTTCACGAATTCTCATGATAACAGCAGCAAAACGTTTTGGATTGTATTCGGCATTACGTGCATGCAGAGCTATCTTTTTCAGATCCAACTTGCAGCTCAAATTTACAGTTGAAACAATATTTCTAAAATATAAATATATGATTAGTATCGATTAATTGTTGGCATTGCATGTAAATAACTTACTGTAATTGTGGAACTATTCCTGGATCTGCTGGAGTCATGGGTGTCATAGGAGTTGAAGGTGGTCCAACAGTAGAAGGTGCTACAGAATTACTAGAACCACCCAAATTAACCATTGGTGATGCTATCATAGTATGTTGCTAAAAATTAAAGTACATAATTTAGATATATTTTTAAATCACTGTTTAAACTACTTACTGGTGTTTGTGCTTGCATCATACTCTGTGGTGTTACAAATCCAGGTGTATAAGTATGTTGCTTCGTTGAACCAACTAAACCCATACTCATTCCTAATCCCAGCGATGGAGTTAAACTCCCTACTGGTGCTAATGGGGGCATTTGTTGTTGAGATAATGACTGTTGGGGCTGTGCTTGAATTGCTGGCAAAATCAGCTGATCTTCTTCAGGCTGATGCAAAGGTGTACCTAATTGAAAAGAAATATTTAGTAAAATAATGTGATAAACAATATCAAGTGGTTCCTACCTATACTTGGTATACTAAATCCAGGGCTTGGTAGCATTTGATCCATGATTGTAATTAGTTATTTATAATTCAATAATAATATAATACTGTTGATAAACACCAACGATCTCAACACATAACCTACAATATTAACTTGTTGCTTTTTGCGCCACTTTCAACCTAACAAAGTCAATTAAACACTATTACTGCCTAAAAACAACTCTTAAATATAATGTTCGATGTCTACTTTATTTTATATGAACCAGAATGCACCAAACAACCAAACTGAACTAAACTCATAAATTATTGTAATACAATCAATTTACTGCAGTAAGCTACCAACTGTTAAAATGTTACTATAGAATGACAGTAACCCAGTGGGGGGGGTTAGCACATTTCTCAAGGGAGTTGGTAGTATAGTAACCTCTGGTAACCCTGCAAATCTTGCTATACTGGTGGCAGCACTGTATAACATATATTTTTGTAAAGTTTATACTATGTTCAAATATTTGAATGGGTATTTTAGAAAAAGATATATTACCTTATAATTTTATAACTTTCTAAAATTATAACGTCTAAAATAAAACGTTGTATATAATTTATAGATGATTTATTATTAAATTACAAGTTTCCCTAATGATCCATTTATTATAATTTCTGGAAGAGTTTCTGTAATGATTCCTGTTGCCACAGTAATATTATTTTCTCGAATGGTAAATGCTTGACCAGAAGTCATAACCATTTTCCATATTAGAGTAATATCAACAGTGCAATGATCACCAGGCATAATCATATTCACATTGTCATCTAAATCAATTCTACAGCTAACATTCCAGGTTTTACTAAATAATTGCTGAATATACTTTGTAGTCACTGGCTTTGAGCGTCCTCCTTCACTTTTGGTCAAAAAATAAATACTAGCTTTGAACCTGTTACTAACTTTTTGACTGTTCATTGCACATAATAGCATTCCTCTTTGCACTTGCTTCAATTTAATTCCTCTTAATAATATTCCAACATTTTCACCAGCAATTGCTTGTGGCAGACTTTTCTTGAACACTTGTATATCATTAACAATAGTTTTCATTTTATTATTGAAACCCAATAACTCTGCTTCTGCACCTTTCTTCATTGTTCCTCTCCCAATAGTTCCAACCACAACAGTCCCTCTGCCGGGAACAGAAAATGCATTATCAATAGGTAACATAAATGGAGAAGAAACATCTCTTGAAGGAGTTGGAATATAATCATCAATTACATCAAGTAATTGCTTCACAGACTTTTCCCACACTTCATCTCCATTTAGTGCTTTTAAAGCTGAACCAAAAACAACAGGTGATTTATCTCCATCAAATCCAAAATCAGACATTAGTTCTCTGATTTCAAGTTCTACAAGTTCAAGAACTTCATTATCAACTAGATCTGCTTTGTTTATAAAAACCACAATGTTTTTAACACCTACTTGTTTGGCTAATAAAAGATGCTCTCTAGTTTGAGGCATTTGTCCATCATCAGCTGCCACAACCAGTATTGCACCATCCATTTGTGAAGCTCCAGAAATCATGTTTTTAATATAATCAGCATGGCCTGGGCAATCTGTATGAGCATAATGTCTTTTCTTCGTACTGTATCCAACATGAGCAGCATTTATAGTAATGCCTCTGGCTTTCTCTTCGGGAGCTCTATCAATAGAATCATATGATACAAAATCAGCTAAGCCATCTTTTTGTAATACTTTTGTTATTGCTGCTGTTAATGTCGTTTTTCCATGGTCTACATGTCCTATTGTACCAATATTTAAATGGCTTTGACTTTCTTTGGCACTAAAAGTTCTTATTATGTTACATTTTGAAATATATAGTTTCCCAGATAAACGATTTGTTAAAATATGCGTTTTGTATGAATTTGCTAAACACTTCCGTAGTGGAACTAAAAACTGTTTACTTAACATTTTTGCACAGTCCACTACCTTTATTAAGTTAGATGTAATGTAATGGATATAACTTTATAGGTTAACGTTCTTATTACTACTAACCTATATTTGCCAAGGTACATATATATACATATGCTAGTATGTATATACATATATAATTGAACAAGAAAATTAAAGTTCATAATTTCTTTCTTTATAGTATTATCAACAAGAGGTATATATAATTAATAAGAATAAGAATCAATTTTTAATGTTTTATTATGTAATTATAATATGAAAATTATTGTGGTGCACTCCTGCCCCTGCCGAAACCACCTCTAAATTCCAAATCAGCGTTTCCAGCGCCAACATCAGCTTTCTTGTCACCTCCGGGTGGGCCACCTGGAGTCCTTCTGTATCCAGCACGGTCTTCAGAAGGTTTAGAGTGTTCAGACCTGACAGTAGCAGCCCTTGGGCGAGCTTCTGGGCGAATTTGTCTCTTAAGGGTGGATGGGACAATTTCTGGGGGCAAATGGAGGTATGTCCTCAAGTATTCAATACCTTCGTTAGTGAGGTACCTAAAATAAAAAAGAAATATGTAAATCACTTGTATGATTGATAATTATGAAATATAAGAATAATAGTTTGAAAGTTATCAAATTTTAAGACAAAATTAACAATATTTACCAGTAGAAGTGCCTCCATGCGAATTGTTCCTTAACAAAACCCCTGGATTTCAAGGATTGCAAAGCTTTGATAACTTCCAAGTTGGGAATAGTTTCCAATTCAGGGTGTTTTGGAGCATGGTAGTCCTTTTTGGCTACCATAACACCTTCCTTGAAAAGGTATTCGTAGATGGCAACCCTATTCTTTTTTGGCATCAACATTCTGAAATAAATACAAACATTAGTGATATAAAACTACTTGTTTATGTTTACAATATGTAAACAACTTAATTTTGTTCAGTTTAATATAAGGCTTTTAATATATAAATTACAAAAAAAGCTTTAGAATTGTGAATGTTTCATTACTTATAACAATAGCAAAGGACGCTTTTCTAATATTTAAGGTTAAATAACATATCATGTGAAAAAACATACTTTAAATAAATAAAATATAAAAATATCGGTAATAATATAGGTAGAAGGTAACAGAGAAACTAATTGTTTGATTTTAAATAAAATATTGAAACAGAATTTAAGGATTCCTTAAGATTTTATAAAATTCTCTACTTACGTGACGTTTTGTTAGGACTTCCTTCAAAAAAGAGAGACGTCAAGGCTTGTACCGCTTTGCAGTTCGATAAACACTGAATGCTGCAAGTATCTCTCTTTACCACATGAAAATCTAAATACGGTTACCTTACTTGCATGAAATTAGTTACAACAAACTTTATAAAATTAAAACTGAGAAATCGAAATTACATGATTTTTATAAAGCATATTTGTAATTACATTTGATATTTGTTAGATTATAAATTAAATTTTTTATTTATTTATGTATATAGTTGTAAATATTATGCTTTTTAGTATATATAATTTGGAATACAATTATGATGTCACGAATGAGAAGTTGGTAGAGGTGTAATTTCATCAGTCGTTTTGACATTAGTAGTTTGTATAAATCAGTATAAATTGTTAAAAACATCAACAACCAGAATATATTTCAGTAGATTTTTTCAACATATAGATTAAACATGGCTACAAACTCTGAACCAATTCAAGTCAGCTCTCTGCCTTTGCCACCGGTACAATATATAAATCATTATTCGGATGATATTGTTAAAAGGGGTAGAGCCCCTAGGCCTCCACTCCCTATTCATGATACTTATAATATGTTTGGCAATACTTTCAATACAGAAGAAAGTATCATAAGACCACTTGAAAGTCAGGTAAGTGTTTAATTTATACTATCTTATTTTTGTTTATAAAATACTTTTTTTTTCAGGGTATCAAACGTTTATATCCATTACATTTTGATCGTAGGAGGGAATTGAAAAAACTTAATTTATCATTACTGGCAAATTTTTTGGATTTATTGGACTTGCTTGTTCACTGTCCAGATTCTCCTCGAAGAGCTGAGAAAGTGGAAGATCTTAGTTTGCTGTTTATCCATATACATCATCTACTAAATGAATTTAGACCACATCAAGCAAGAGAAACTTTAAGGGTTATGATGGAATTGCAAAGAAGACAGAGGATAGAAACAGCAAACAGATTCAATAAACACTTGGAGAAGGTGCAAGAGATTTTGCAGCAAGCAATCCAAAATTTACCAGAACCTATGGAAGTAGATTCTAAATTATTTATTGATACAAATCACCTAAATTCGTCTGATAACCCATCAAAATCAGATGCAAATGGGGACCCTTGTGATATATTAGACAGAATTATGTGTAATGTTGTTGACTCTATGTAAGAAATTTTTGTATTAATAAAATTTATATATATTTATATTTTTTAGTTCTAATAGTTATTGTATTGTATGAAACTTAATCTTATTATAAATAGAAGCAAACAATTACATGAAATTGATACTACTTAATTGTTTTTTGTATATATTTTAACAAATGTATTATACACTTTCGTCTTACAATCACAAGGGCAATATTAATGTGACATGTATTCTAAACAATGGATCAATTTCAATTTGTCAATATTAATTCCGTTATTGTATTAAATAAAAAACAAATTAATAAAACAATGTTTGTAGTACAATTTTTCAGTCTCATTATTTTATATCTGTGTCAATTTGTATCTACTGAAATATTCAATTTTATCATTTGAAAAGGTATAGAGGATTTTGTAGTAAGCTAAGAAATTGCGCTCATGTTCATTCAAAATTATTTATTGATACAAATATTCTAAACTCATCAGACAATACATCGAAATCAAACGCAAATGAGGACTCATCGTGATATATTAAATAGAATTAAGTGTAATGTTGTTGATTCTATGTAATGTATTTGTGTATTAATAAAATTCATATATATATTTAGTTTTTATACTCTTATTGTGTTAAATAAAACACAAACTCAATAAAAATTGAAAAAAACTTGTCTGAAATGGATAGTAGCTAGTTCCTATACGCTCCTCTCCCTCTGCCTCTTGAACCTCTGCTGGGACCACCGCGTCCGCCCCAGAATCTATTATTTCCTTCTCCTGTAGAATTTAGAATATTAAAATTTGAATAAACTTCTATTAGCTAAATCTTACTGTTATGAAAGTTATGGCTGAACTTCCCGCTTGGTGGAGTGTAAATCCGTTTTTCTCCAACGATATTCCTGGATTGTTTACTTTGCTTGTTGTTCGATGCTCCATTGCTTTCAAAGAAAATAGGAACATGGCGTTTAGTGCCAATCTCTGGTGATTTTGTTACATTGGTTTTCTTCGTCTCTAGCTTAAAGGATAACGATACGTTGCATTTATAAATTGGCGGCTGGTAGAACAAGTCTTTAATTAACGTATTGATGTTGTTTAATAGCTTTGGCGACATCTCTCTAACTTTCTTCTCCTCAGGTGAGAAAATCTTTTCCTTGTCAGTTAAATTCAACACTTTCAAACATCCTTGGACACCACGCGAAAAGTACATTAATCTTGATCTAAAATCTTTCAAAACCGACTGATCACAGGTTAAGAAATCTGGCGATTGTCTGGCTAGGCGATGGAAAGTAAACAGTAAACTTTCAACGACGGAGAAATTAAATTCTGGCATTTTTGTGGAAGACGTATCTTCAGAAGGATAAGGCATATACATCTAAAATAAATTACATTAATTTAATTATTCAATTATTGTGTACTATTCCTTACCTTCAGTTTATCAAAAATTTGTACTATTTGGGTACTTGGAGTTTCCAAATTGCCACAGTACATAGACATTTCAGCTAATTGTTGAGCAATAGCCAATTGATATTGGGTACCTAACTCTAAATTTCCAATTGTTTCCCATTGTGATAGAACTTGATCACAGTAAAATAATATAAATTTACTTGATTCGATTTTAGCCTGAAAATATACAAATATATTATGGAACTACACAAATCTCATATATACTTACAGAAAAAAATGGCAATATAAATTTAACACATGTAATTAATTTGTCTGTGTTATTGCTATCTTCTTCCAATGGATTAAATTTCTGATCCATCTCAATTTGCTCACAGGCTATATCTATCAGCTCTTGTTGTGCAGTTATTGTATTGCAATACTTGGAAGAGACTAAATAATTCATCAATAATATATACTCTTCAGCAGTACAATCTTGCAAAGTTGATTTAACTTCAGTCAACAACAACTCTTCTAATTCAGCTGTAAATACAGCCTTATCCATTGTTTTAACTTTAGTCAATATAAACTTCAACATTTTTTCTCTTAATTGTAACTCTGTTGTTTTATCATTAATCAATTTGAACATAGATTTCAGTACTGTTGTTGGATCATCTTTAAGTACTTGCAATAAAGTGCTACTAGCAATGTTATGTTCTTGTGGATCTTCCAGTTGCAAGAGCTGAGCAGAAATATCTGCAACTCTTGCATTGTACTTATTACTCTCCTTACAAAATGATGGTAATGTTTTTATAGCAGCAATACGTATCTGAAATAAATTGAAAAGATGGTTAAAATTACACATAACTTTTAAAGATTGCTTTCAACTTACAGACATATCATCATCCTCGCACAGATCAAAAATTGCCTCAACTGCATCATTCTGATAATCAGGAAAATGTTTAAAGAATTTGGATATTATTTGGGCTGCCAATTGTTTTTCCTTCTCACTTCCTTTTGTAGCATTAATTGCGACTTTATATTCAGTTCCAAGCTGAAATAAAAATGTGTAAGTTTTTTTTAGATCAATCACAACATAAAAATAATGTTTATGTTTATTGTAACTTATTAATGAATATTGAGGTTATGTACCGCATTACTTACCTCAGTAAAATTGTCCTTAGCTTCCGAAAGCAGCTCATAACTGCTGTACAACTTGGCGAAATTCATTTTTATATTTTCTTAAATATATTTACCATAGGCGTATGAAATCTGTATAATCAATAAGTTATGAAATATCTGAAAATATACACAATTTTTAATGTGCGTCCAAACACATCCACATCAATGCTACCAATTGTAATCATTTACTATGTACCAACTGATCAATTTAATTCAGAAGGTATACTTTCTTTGCAACTATTATGTATAACTATATGCATATACATACCATACATACTTAGTAAACTTACTTTTAATTATAATAATACTTACAATGTTCACTTAATTAGATATTAAAGATGTAAACATGAACATATTAAAAAGTAATTTAAATTTCATATGAATATTGTGTAGGAGTGAATGAAGAAACACTTCTAACAATATGCATACTTGGTTGATTTCATAATTTTTGTGAAAGTTAAAAAAATATTTCATAATAATAATATGCATGAATAAAATTGAACATCTGCTACCCAATGACTAAAATAGTACACTATTCAACAAACAACTTTAATAATGAAGTTCCAAACATATTTATAACAAATATAATTAAGTTAAGATTTATTTATATAACGAATTGCAATTAATATTTATAAAAACATAATAGTTTTCTACATTATAGTGAAAACATGTATTATTTAAATATTTCTAACAAAATCAAGTTTCAATTTAAAATATAATAGACGAAATTATAAAACTTCGTTAAAAGTTGTGTTACCACGTATACTTGTTTCAATACAGATTATTGGAAGTTTAATATACTACTCAATTTAGTTCTTTGTATATTGCAACCTGATTACAAATATACATGAAATATTTTTTATTGTAACTGTAGAAATACTCATGTGTAGTATTTCATCTACAATAGTAGCATTACAATTGTTTTGTATGGTATATGTGTATTTGTATCATAAATGTATATTTTTACCATGGTATATACGTATTTTTCTTGCTTCCGTCTGTGTGGAATAAAAATAAATTAAAAGAATGAGTTCGCAAAATTATTTTGTATACAAAAACAATCGATTTTTTTAAGCTTTGGGTTTCAAACAGTGCTGAATTGATGGAAGTATATACAGTATCATGGGATACAGAAAATAAATGTACATTGGGTTGCCATATATAAAATTTAAAGGTATGATTTTTTTTAAATTTTAACTTATATATTTTCTACAATCATCACATTCTAAAATATAAATTGTACACCATTTATGCAACATATATCCATAGACATATCAACGTTTATAGTAGTTTATACAGGCCCTTTGTTGATGGAAACCAGAAGACATATTTATTAAATTAATTATACTATTAACAATATTAACATTTCATTTAATATTAATATAAACAAATGTAAATATTATTGTTGTCCTTGAATATAATATTGAATACATAATTAATTTCGATAATGATTTAAACAATGAATAAAATTAATTAACTTATAAATATGTACAATTTTCTTTTTGTTATAAGTTCGTTCATAGTTAGCACTTCAAAATAGGAAATTGTTAAATATTGTAACAATGTCTAAGCTTATCAAATTACAAAAAAAGAACAATTCAGTTTCTATTCGACGCTGTTATTAATATATATAATAAATAAGCTGAAGTGTGAATAAGATCTTATCTATGGCTAAGATAAGTCGATAAGGAAATTCGGCCAATCACGATTATTTTGCCAATATTCCTGAATACGTCGAACCAGTCGAAATGCATGTCGCATTTGTTATAATAATATTGTTGCATTTTTATGGATGATCGTAGTGCTCATTATTGTTTTCAGTTTTTTAATTAAAGCGAGCGAGCAATATAATTGACTTTTTTTTTGGTTTTCAGTAAGTAAGCTACCATAGTTCCACGAGCTGCCATTATTGTAAAATCGTTATCCAATTGGTCGTTCCCCTACCAAGGGAATACCCAACCGCCTACACATTCGATCCGACGATAAAATTTATCTGCGTTAGAATCTCAACAACATATTTTATTAATATCAATATCAATATTTTTTTTTTTTAAGGTTTCAATTATCATCTCAGTATCAGAGATTATTTAGAACTTTAGCTTTTTGATAAAATTGGAAAGTTAAGCAGCGTGAATTAGTTGTTTGGGTGATTATACCTTTTGACCACACTGCACTATAAAGCGTAGAAAATTTTCTGCAATAAACTTTTGACATCATATTTTATAACTGAAGAGATACACTACTTTGTTATATTTTTATTACAGTGGGTGATGGAAGTTAACGCTAGTGGTAATATGAAGACATTAAGCCGCTTCTTAAATTAACTAACCAAGCTGGTAGTGATCATCGACTTTGAACAGATTATGTTCATTAAATTATAATTAAAAATGTATAATTGTAATTTGATCTCCATTAATATTTACTTGTATATAATAAAAAAGAAGCAATTAATTATTATTATTAAGTGTTTAGATATTATTGATACAACAATAATAATTTGTTAATTAGAAAAAAAAACAATATTATTATCGTCACATATAAACACTCATACTTTAGCATTTCTAATCAAAATTTGGATTAATTAATGTATATACATAAATGTCTGTGGTTGAAATTAGTTTTGGTGGCATTCTGTAGGGGCTTTTGGAATAATAGACTCAATGGAACTCTTGGGAAACATAAACAGTTACGGATCAACCCCCGGACAATTATCACACCCCGGCAACGAACACATACGTAAAAAAGGAAGCTACGAAGATTTCTCTATACAAACCTTAGCGACACAACAAAGAATTAAAACATAAAAAAAATCGCATTACTTAATTTAAAATAAATAAATAAAGTCAAACAATACAATTGTTTTATAATTAATCGTATGTTAATGTATGTTAATTCAGATCGCTTGTAGATTGTAATGTATGAATAAATATTTTTACTTTATTTATGTACAATAAAGTAATAATTAATTTATGATGATTTTTACAATTAGGATAATCGATTCTGCCAATATACCGGACTGCTTGAAACTGTACTAACCGAAGAATTAAATAAAATAGAAATAATGTGTGCTAATGTTTAGAATTTATTTTTTATTTATCACTTAAAATTTAGTTTATTTTTAAATTTTCAAAGCGGACTATACTGGATCTCGACGGATCGAAGCCAGATATTATTGTAATTTATTGAATTTATTATTTCCAAAATATTTCATATTTGCATACTTTTGATACATTTTGTACTTATTTGTAATATTTCATTACAAAAGAGTTATACATTTCTTGAAAAGATGAAAGATAAAATTAAATTCTGGCATTTTTGTGGAAGACGTATCTTCAGGAGGATAAGGCATATACATCCAAAATAAATTATATTGATTTAATTATTTAAATATTGTGTACTTTACCTTCAGTTTATCAAAAAATTATACTGTTTGGGCACTTGGAGTTTCCAAATTGCCGCAATACAAAGACATTTCAGCTAATTGTTGAGCAATAGCCAATTGATATTGGATACCTAACTCTAAATTTACAATTGTTTCCAATTGTGATAGAACTTGATCAGAGTAAAATAATATAAATTTACTCGATTCGATTTTGGCCAGAAAATATACAAATATATTATGGAACTACACAAATCTCATATATACTTACAGAAAAGTAGATTGTAATGTATGAATAAATATTATTATTTTATTTATGTACAATAAAGTGATAATTAATTTATGATGATTTTAACACCTCGCACAGTGCGGATAATCGATTCTGCCAATATACCGCACTGTTTGAAACTGTACTAACCGAAGAATTAAATAAAATAGAAATAAACCGCCCAAAAGGAGTTAATGGATAAAAACCGATCATTTATAAAAAGATAATTTTGTGTGCTAATGTTTAGAATTTATTTTTTATTTATCACTTAAAATTTAGTTTATTTTTAAATTTTCACATCGGACTGTACTGGATTTGGACGGATCGAAGCGAGATATTACTGTAATTTGTGGAATTTATTATATACAAAATATTTCATATATGTATACTTGATACATTTTGTACTTATTTGTAACATTACATTACAAAACAGTTATACATTTCTTGGAAAGATTAAATTAAATTCTTGCATTTTTGTGGAAGACGTATCTTCAGCTGGATAAGGCATATACATCTAAAATAAATAACATTAATTTAATTATTTAAATATTGTTTACTATTCCTTACCTTCAGTTTATCAAAAACTTTACTTATTTACTTTATTTATGTACAATAAAGTAATAATTAATTTATGTTTTTCAAATCGCACTATACTGGATCTGGACGGATCTAAGCGAGATGTTATTGTAATTTATTATTTCCAAAATATTTCATATTTGCATACTTTTGATACATTTTGTACTTATTTGTAACATTTCATTACAAAAGAGTTATACATTTCTTTGAAAGATGAAATTAAATTCTGGAATTTTCTCCTGAAGATATGTCTTCAGGAGGATAAGGCATATACATCTAAAATAAATAACATTAATTTAATTATTTAAATATTGTGTACTATTTCTTACCTTCAGATTATCAAAAATTGTGCTATTTGGGTACTTGGAGCTTCCAAATTGCCACAGTACAAACAGCTAATTGTTGAGCAATAGCCAATTGATATTGGGTACCTAACTCTAAATTTCCAATTGTTTCCCATTGTGATTGAACTTGATCACAGTAAAATAATATAAATTTACTCGATTCGATTTTGGCTTGAAAATATACAAATATATTATGGAACTACACAAATCTCATATATACTTACATAAAAGTAGATTGTAATGTATGAATAAATATTATTACTTTATTTATGTACAGTAAAGTAATAACTAATTTATGATTATTTTAACACCTCGCACAGTGCGGATAATCGATTCTGCCAATATACCGTACTGTTTGAAACTGGACTAACCAAAGAATTAAATAAAATAGAAATAAACCGCACAAAAAGAGATAATGGATAAAAACCGATAATTTATAAAAAAAATAATTTTGTGTGGTAATGGGTAGAATTTATCTGGACGGATCGAAGCGAGATATATAACTTAATTTATTGAATTTATTATTTCCAAAATATTTCATATTTTTGATACATTTTGTACTTATTTCTAACATATCATTACAAAGTAGTTAT